GACTTCTTTAAGACAATAAACAATTGAATTATGCTAAATTGGTAAGTAGTCGTAACTGGGGTTGGGCGAAAAGGAGAAATCTAATATATCACAATATTTCTGATCAATTACCTCAATACTGATATTGTGACGATGTTGTTGGTTTGACTATTGGTGCTATCACAAGATATTAACACAAGACATTTTTGATTAATGATGTTTATATTTTGTGAATATAATGACTTATTGGTTAAAGGAAACGAGTATAACAGCTACACAGTCTGGTCAATTCAGAACACTGTTTAGTTTCTGTACAGCCTTCAAAACCAGGAAGACACTTTTATGACATTAAAACACCACAATTCTAAGACTTTATCTAGTTTCACATCACAATAGAGATATAAAACTGATTTATTGCCTAGTCATTTTCAGATTCAGATTTGTCCTGCATTATATAAATATTTCTACTTCACGGTTGAATGCTTGAGCGTTTCCTTTAAGTAAAAGCATGGCAGCCCAGCAGACAACAAAACATTAACCATAGGCAGCGCTCCGAGCTGACAGGACAGACAATGATTTTAGCTGAACAACATTCTCAGAGTGGTTCAAAAATAGCCCTTTGCCCAAACAGACCAACCTTCAAACTATTACATAACCAAGACAAATCTGTAGCTTCTGCACCTGCCTGAGACTGCAGAGCTTTACCAGCATCTGTACCTGGGAGAAATGTCTAAATAACTCTGTCTTTGTTTCAGTCAGTAAAATGTATTTCAAGTGTTGCAAGAGTGCTCCAGTTCCCACTTAATGTACAGGTGTCTAGGCTTAGTGCTCCAGAGTGAGAGCATGATCATAAATCAAGAGCATAAAGTCCAAGGTCCATGCATCAGGCTTATCAAAAATGAGTAATGAGGAGGGGAATTGTTTACAACCTGTTCGATCATCTGAACACTTCAGTTCTACTAAAAGGCAATGATTGATTTGAATGATTTTGATTCTCCCAAAAAAGAGTTAAGTAAAATATGCATCTGACCTGTGTTCAGTTCCTGGTGGTTAATACACTGATATTTTGCCTTAGGACTTCAACCTATATATAAGCTTTTTTATTTTAGTTTGAAGTCACAAATGTCAGCTCTCTGTCGCAGGTTAGGTAGACAGAAGTTTGCCTTTGAAGGTTAACTGGTGATTCAAATGCATGTGCCAGGGCCCCAGTTGATCACCTGGTAAAGTGGATATTACCAGCAGCTAGCAGCCCCTCTCTACCCCCCCTTATCTGCCAATCTTCAGCTGTACTGTACAATAAAAAAGGCAGAAAGATATATACCTTTGTTGATGATTGATTGATTAATTAATCAGTTAGGTATTTTACAAAGCAACATGTAAACTACTAAAGAGTGAGGATATGCTTCTTCTCTCTTTTTTCTTATCATTGTCCAGGGTGTTTGTCACTGTATTTCAAGTGTGGTGGCCTGCTGGGCATAAGTTGAGTCCTTGGTGGGCCAAAGCATTTTTGTTCTTGTACATGGATGCATACCGTATTCTCATAGGTTGTGTGTAGCATTAACAAATCAGTTGAGAGAAAGAGCATGTGTGTGTATTGTGAGTATGAAGGATGATTTCAGGTGGGCTGACCTTTAAGTTAGACCAGAGCTTCACTTTTAAGTGACAAGCTGCTCCTCCAAATGTTTGTCCAGCACGTCCACTTCCCGTCTGTTTTGTGTGAAGGCTCTACATATAAACATTTATGTAAATCATTTTCAGCAGTTAGTCTTTAACAGTAGTTAAGGATTCAGATCTCGATGAGGGTCAAAGACAAAACAAAAAAGCTTGTTCAGGACATTCATTCTAAGGAAAAGCATTTGAATTTGCTAAAATAATGAATTTGTTATGGTCACGGTGTGTGGCCGACTACGCAAGTCTATGTGGAGGCTAATAAGAGCATAGGCAGCATGATGACAACATTTAGTTTACCGGCTTCCACTGAGGACTAATGAGACGTCACTGGGAGATGGAGCAGCTTCCTAATTGTCTACATCCGTGCATGATCACAAGAGACCTATGAAAACTGGTGCCCCCTCTGCTCTCAAAAGAACTACGAGATGAACCATACAATACATTTTTGGTATAAACTGTAAAATAGTGAAATCAATTAATTTCATAAAGACTAAAGGTCATATCTTCAAATGAGTTGCTTTGTTTCAATAATTTAAATATTTTCAGTTGATATTATATACTATATCAGACAAAGAAGCTGCAAATCCTGACACTGAATAATCTGTAACCAGTTGTCATCCAGTTGACAATTGACTTAAACAATCAATACATTCAAATTGAAATGTATCATCAAGGCTCAACACCAAACTGCCTTACTTAATATTACAATTGTTTGCAATCCCAATGTTAATTCAACAACAGATTGATTACTGAAAAGTTAAGCATCACATTTAGAAGACAGCATCTAATAACAAAAATGCAATGAACCCAGCCACAGGCATTAATTATTGTTTGCATATCAAACTTGTAGTCCCAGGCTCTGCTTGCTGTACAACGCACCTCCTTATGGGTGACCTTCATGCCAAACAAGTCCATGCTGGTACAACTGATTACAAATCAAACATCAAGGTAAATCATTTTTACCCTTTAACTGGCAGCCTACACTTCCACAGTTCACTTGTCTGCCCTACAATAAAAACACTCAGTTCAAAAGTAACTTAAGCTTTATCTAAAACAAAATTGCATGTGCTATCAATGGCCACAGTCCAATATAAATGTGACAAGACAGTGGCATAACTTTGTCAGAGTAGTAAAACATGATAGCATGAGCCCCTTTCATTTTCGACTTAATTAATAAATAGTGTACTGTAATAAGTGTAGGTCTTTTCATATGGGAATGCGGGACAAAATACCTACTGTACTTTCTATAACAGCTTATTGAATTCAAAACGTATGATAAGCAAACCCTTGAAAGACAGCAGAAGTAAAAGAAGAGCGAATATAACATATCTATACAGCATAAGGGTTCATAACCTATTCTTTAGGCATAGGACTTCACATTTACGGCTAGATAATACAGGCCAGATACAGAACAATCATAAGGCATTTAGTGAAATTCAGCTCATGAGACAGATTTGTTTAACGCAAGTGAAAACTGCACAGCATTGTTGATGGCCAGTATTTCATACTGATCCTTTTGAGTCTCCACCCTGATTATGATTCATCAAACCGCTGTAGATTACCTTTAGAGACCTTACAGAAAGCGTAAAAACAACCCATATTGGTTGAATACTGCTTTATTTATTAACATATTACTCAGTTAAAAAATCTGGCTCGGGTGACGTCTTCCAAGACTCGATGGCCACAAGGGCAAAGTTGCAGCAATGGCTCAGCAACGCCCTTTCCAGCTAATGTTAGCTTAGCATGATAACGTATACGTTAACTGAAGCTGTCAGTTTGAGCAGAATAGATTTATACAACCACCTTCAACCACCATACCAACACACACATTGGTCTACGCAAACATGAACACAGTATATTGCAACAGCGATAAAGTGGGCATGAGATATGTAACCCAAGTTTGATTATAGGGCTATTTGGTGTTATTCACCAGAACAAGACAACGCTGTTTCTTGAATAACCTTTCAACAAACATAAAGACGGTTCCACAACAAACACGCCTCATTTTCCAAATCCAGATGTTGTTATTGCATTTTCTAGCAACAACAGAATCCAGAATATGCACCGGGCTTAGAAAATATGGCAGCAAGCTGACAGCACCTATGTTAGCATAGCCGGCTAACGTACCACGTTAGCTCATCCCCAAAGAACGTCCATAAATAGACGTGGCTAACGTTAGCCAAGTGTTTAGCTAATGTTCACAACAAGTGTCCCCGTACAAATGACGACATGACCAAGAAACGCCGAACTGGTTTTAATATGACAATCACATTCAGTATATTTGAATAATATCTCCATCGGATTATTTCGTATTTTAGTCTTTAAATCAACGCTCTTCTGAATGCCAACTTTGCCACTTAGCTTAGCTTTCGGCCTGTCTCCGCCATTTTGAGATCGGAACGGGAAAGCGCAGAGACTGCAGGCAATTCGTCGTCAAAAATAACAAGTCTTTCTAAGTGCCAAAACAAAAATGTGGACACGTGTAATACACACTAACTTACCCTCTGACAAATGGTAATTCTCATATCCCCTCGACTGGTCTAAGCATGCAACGGTAAGCCCTGGTTTTGATGTGGTATTGTGACTTTTCACATCACCCGGCACGGTCAGATTTTTTCTCCTCTTTGGTACCACCGCAGCCCGGCCCCAGCTAACGGTCGCGATTGGATATCGGTTGCGCGCACGTTGAGGCGAGCGGGGGCGCGCAGCGTGCACCTCTTTCGCTCATGAAATTAAAGGGAAAACACACCATCATTTACGGTATTTTGTAATTTCATACAGCCACGTTATCTTCGTTAACACGTTTTTATTGAGATGATACAAAGACAAAGAACAATTTCTTAGCGCAGGTCATCACTCTTATGAACGCAGTCATATAGTTTAAATAACACTTTTAAAACATCCACTGCAGGCCTACTTCACTGCATCTTTAAATATAGGCTACACATAATATATCCTAAATGTCATCGCTGCCAATATGAATATAAGCACTGTATACACTAAACTGCCAAGTCCAACTATGTAAAAACAACCTGTTATATTACAAATTCCATATTTCTACACCCTTTGTACTTTGCACACACTGTCTTCACATTTTGTGTGTATATGGTTTTATATCAATATCTACATTATTTTTCCCTTTATGGCTACTCCATTTATGTTTACCTCATTCAGCTGTGGTTTTTGTCCTTGTTTTTATCAGATGTTTTAATTTCTGTTCAACTTGAAGGCAATACAAGATGGAGTCAAGTTCCTTTATGTGCACACATTTTTTCATTAAATATTGTAAGTTGTACAACCATTGGAATAGCAGTTATATGGTGTACTATCTCAAATGAACAAAACCCAAAGACATAAGAAGCTCAGATGTTTATTATTTTCATACAATAACTTGGATATTAGTGACAAAACAGGGATAACAGGTATTGGACAGATAATACAAATCCAAAACAATCATAGAGATTATTTTCTGAAATATTCTGAGAAGTATTCATGGGACAAGTGGGAAGACACACATAGTACTGCAAGATAAGAGCATATCATTTAAAAATATTTTAGTACACTGTTATGATATCTTGTCATCAGCAGAAGTGGGCCTAAACATACTGTGCTGACATGTTATCAGGGTTAGTTCATTTATTTCCCACCAAGGAGAGTTACACACATTTTCCATCAGAGTTACAGCCTGCAGAGTTCATTGTAGTTTGGTCGAAGTAAGTTTATACCTACTAGAAAACAGGAGCAATTTTCCAGGCTTTCATTTGTTTGCTCATAGTCTGCAGTTGTTTTCAAGAGTCTGACTGACTACACATGTGTTATATTGTAAATGTCCCTTTGGTCCACATTTTAATATTATTGTCTGCAGTTCTTACGTATTTTTTTCCAGATCTTCCACTTTAATCTTTGCCTTTTCTTTCAGTTCAGTCCTCAGGTCTGCAACTTCTTTCGCACTAGATGGACAGATACAGTTAAAGAGATGAGCATTACAACCAACATTAGCAGTCATTTTTGTATTCATTATCTTGGCCTGTTTGAGTGCTTACCTGAGGGGAATGAGAATGATTCCACATGTCAGGTTGAGCTGCTGAAGGATTGAGGAAAGACTTGGTGTGGCAAACTGGAGAGAAACACAGATGAGACAAAGTATAATTCGGTTGAAATGCACTTGAGCCGGGGCCACTTTCTTGCTTGCATACACGTGTTCATGTACAAACCTTTGGAGGTTGAATACAGGCACTAGGCGTGTTACTGTATATATGGTTGATGGCTTTCTGTAAGACCACAGCCTGCTGAGTGAGCCTCTTCAGGTAGTCCGAGCTTTCCTTCGTGCTGTCATGGTTCTCTCCAACCTTTAGATGTGCAACAGTCTCTCAGTTAAAATCAAGAGCATACAAAATAAATATGACAACACCAAACATTGTATTTTAAAGTTTTAAAGCACACCTGGCTCCTATATATTAAATAAGCCTCTTTTTCGTGTTGCAGAGATGATCGAAAATCTCCTTTACTCTCGAACACAGTGGCAAGAAGATGATGACTGCACAGAAGATACACAGGGAGAGGCAATAAGGGAATTACACACGTTTGCTAAAAACTGAATTGCAATCTATGTTTGCTGTCTTTCTGTCTGCTTCTGAATATACCAGTGTAAGAATATAATGAACATGACGGCTGTCTTACCTTTGTGCATGCTTCAGGGACATGGCACCGTGGTATTTTGAGGTTAAATTTAAGGCATTCTGTAGGAACTTGAATGAAAGCTCATGCTCCATCAGTCCATGAAGTACTAGACCCAGCATACTCTAATGTAGTGAAGCACAAAAAGGACATTAACAGACATTAAAAGAAGCACTGCCAAATCTTTTGGACAGGTTGCTGCAATTCCAGGATATCAAGACCCTGCAGGTTTGTGTTGTTGCGATGCTTTGAGTTTGAGTTATCTTATCTACCTGAAGTTCTATTCTGTAAAAATGATTTCCACATTCTGCGTGGGGTCCTGATCCAACACTTTAATCATTTCAAGTCTCTCCCATAGGTACTTTAGATCTTTTTCTTTGATATACTTTTTGTTCAGTTGATCTGTATTTTTTTGTACCTCTTCAATAGCAGTGTACCTTGGGAGAGAGAGAGCTTGGGGTAAAAGGGTTAAGAGGCCTACCTGATTGAAAACTACATATACTCTTAATATTTGTTTGAGTTTGTAAGTTTATCATCAGTGCGAGAAAACAATCTTTATTTGTTCATACCTAATTTCTTGCAAATTCACATATTAGGATTTCAGTAGGTGTTGTTAAAACTACCTATCCAACAAAACCCTTAGATTCACCCCAAAGCACTGGCTTTTTAAACCACCTTATAATAGATAACATCCAAATAGATTTTGTCAGCAACATTTTGCATGTGAGGTCACACTTACATCCAGCATGGAGACCTGTGGATGGTCTTCTCCGCACATGAGCAGGGTGAGGTACCGAGCACGATACAGCAGCTGCAGGGAGATCGAAAGCTGGCCTCCAGCAAAGCAGTACAGGGCCAGAAAAATCTAAATACCAGATAGGTAAAAGTGAAAAGTTACTTTAATACAGTAAAGTTAGAAACCAACAACTTATGGTCCAGCAATATGTTTGTGTATAAACGTACATTTTAAGAAACTCACATAGTCTTGTATGGTCTGAGGATGGTCTATACCTTGTATTCTCTCACTAGTAATAGCAACCTTTTCCTGGTGGCTGAGGGCCTGTGAGACATTTAAGGTAAACATTACTTTCAGAAAGGCTCCGAAATATGTGTTGGTAAAACCCCAAAAATATGTCACTAGTCTAGGTGAAAGGTAATGGTATAAATGAACTGCAACGCATATTTACATCTGCATATTCCCCCAGGATGTAGCAGATTCGTCCCAGGAGACGCAGGCACATGCACACGTCCTCATGCAGGACCCCACATACGCTGCTGAACAGAGTCAGGGCCTGGCTGATCAATTCACAGCCCTCGTTGAGAAGCCCTAAGAACAAACGTAAAATACTGATGAGCCTTGAATGTACAATAAATGTGTATGAGGAAGTTACTTTTTAAGTAGTTACTAAGTTTAATTTAAATATTCTTTCCTAATTCCTAAATGAGAAGTTGTTGTCCTAAACATAACTTTTAAAATACAAAAAAACTCCAAATTAACTCAGTCTTCTAAAGGGTTACATAGCTTAAATGTATTGTTAACTTTACTTCTTAAATAATCATCATGAACAATGTGATAATACTGCTACTCATGCAAGGCCACCATGCTGCCCTTAATATAAACATATACATGCTGTTTATGATGTAAATATTGTGTCTGTGTCTCTTACCCTGCTGTACTGCTACATGTGCTTGTTGCACAAGCCTTGTGGCGTCCGATGCTGTAGGTTTGATATGTTTGACTACAGGGAACATGTTAACAACATCTTCCTCACCAAACACCGGCTTGTGTCGCGCCTCAAACACATACTCCCTCAGCTGCACCTAGATGCAGAGAAGGGGGAAACATCTGCATTTGAAGCTGCTCTAGATATCTTTGCATTGTGGCTGCCCAAAGGTAATGCTTGAGCTATATAACTTTTAAGGGCTTGTTTGATTTCTGCAACCACAGATTATTGGCCCTCAGATTATCAGCCATCAGTGTAAATCCTTTGCCTCAAGCATACACAATTAGCAGATGTTTTTTTCTGTGAACTACAAGATAGAGGTGTGGCAAAACAAGAACTACTTCTCATCTTAGCTTCTGGAAGAAGTGAATATAGTGGTGGGGGTTTCATTTTTGCAGAAGATTCAACCACTACCACCATTGAACTTTCACTCTCTGATACTTATTTCTCAACGATTGAAGTTGCAGATTAGATTTTCATTTAAACAAAAGGTGTGATTTTGGCAAAACGCATTGCCTAATACATCTTTGAAATTGACAGAATTCATATTGTATTTTGTAGAGAAGAATGATAAATGTCTGACCTGGATTCCTGTCTTGATGGCCATTTCTCTCAGTAGGGAGATCCTCTGAAGGCCGTGTTTTTCTATGACATCATCCATACTTTCACTGGACACAGAGAAGATGGATGTAAAGTCATGTTGCACGTATTCACCCACAGACACACACATGCACAATAACACACACCTGTCTAATGAGTGGTGGTAATAATCTCCAGCCTCGGTCCTGATCCGGCCCCACAGCTCGCTGGGGGTCAGTCTGGCCCAAACGCTTTCTTTCAACATGGCAACTCGACTCCCGTGGCTCCTCCTCCGCCGGCTCCTGCGGCGAGAGAGCAGCTCATCTGAGCAGGAGTCGGGGAAGCTGGAGGAGGAGCTCAGGAGGCAGTTTAGGAAGTGACTGACAGCAGCGGAGAAAGTAGCAGGTTCTACATCCTGGGAGAAAATGAGATATGTTGGTATTATAAAACGTGTGCTGGATTGTAAAATGTAATATTTCACTTGTTTACATTATTTGAGCACTTCACCTGTAGATAGGTCCTGAAGATGTGTTTTGCACTTCTGATGATGACTTCACTGATAGAAATTCTCTGTGAGGAAACATTTAACTAGTTATGTGATGAGAAAGATTTCAGCATCCCAAGTTCCTTCATACTTTATTTTTCTTAGTTTTTTTTCATTATTCTATAAAACATATCATGCTTTTATTTTATAATACTAAGAAACACATTCATGTGATAACTCTTTGTCGTTATCGTTGGATAACAATCTGATTTCAACTTAGGTATCTTTCTGTAGCTTAATTTCCTCGTCTTTCAAAATGTTCTATTGGTGTCACTCAGGTGTGTAAAAGGTCAGGATAGTGCCGTCAGGCCAGATTTATAAAGACATCACCCAATTCTTTACCTGGGAAGGAATGAGTAGGAATTGATGTAGTGGAAATCTTAAGAGTTTCACCTGGATGTGGCTGAGTCTCCCTCTTTCCTCCCCCCTGTCCAGCTCCCTCAGCAGGGTGCCCAGGTAGCGCACGTTCACCCCCCGCTGGTGCAGCACGGAGGTCAGGGTCGCTCCATCCATCGGCACTGCTGTGTGGTCTAAACAGTCCTTCAGCTAACACACACACACACACACACACACACACACACACACACACACACACACACACACACACACACACACACACACACACACACACACACACACACACACACACACACACACACACACACACACACACACACCAGCAGTAGTAATTAAATGTTATAGATATATGCACATGATTGACAATCTTTGCTCCACTCACCACTGCTGGAATCTGATTGGACAGTAGAAAAGCAGCGGCGTCCCATAACAACCGTCTCTGCCTCTGCACCTCCTGAACACACTCAGGGGAGAAACGAACACCTGCAGCAAAGACACACAGTTGAATATGAGTGTTTTAAAGTTTAAACGTTATATATACAGTATATGTCCCTATGTATGCAGCACAATTGTGTTCAATACCTGGGGAGCAAACATCAGGGTTGAAGCGGATGTCGAAGCAGGAGTCACTCACTGATCCGACAGCCTCACAAGCTTTCATAATCCCAGTCCTTGTCTGGTGTTCTACAAAAATAAAATATGATTAATCGACACAAAATCAAACAATCCTCACCACTTTCCCTAGCCTCAATTAGTCAAATGTGAATATTTGTACATTTCGAAAGTCTATCAGTGCAAAGTAACTACACTTGGTGGGGTAAAAGTAAAAAGGAGAAGACAAATAATACACTCAGGTAAAACACAACTTTAAAAAAGTATTTACTATTAGCGCAGTCATTTATTATACAATTCTACCACTGGGATTTAAGGCCAATTAAGTCTTTAAATGGGTTAGAACCAAACTGAGTATTTTAACCTGTCAAACTCTTTCTGCTGATGTAAATCATGCATTGCAATAAAAAATCTCCAGGACAATTACAACTGATGAGATTGTTTTCCCAAACGTATTACTGTACAGTACATCATTTTGTACCTTTCCTCCCTATTTCTCAGCCTGATTTGGCTTTAGATTTCTTCTGGTCTATTAAAGGTTTGTCACATTTCACTTCATTTATCTGCACTTATTCACCCATCTCAGCACTGGCTCTGCTTGTATCTCCAGTTCTCGGCTCACAGACCGACTCTTCACTCTGCCCCGAGGCTTTATCTTCCTCTTCCCGCTGAACGAGGCCCTGGGACACCATCTTGAGATAAAGTTCATACCTGCAACATAAAGCACAAGATATGAGGGTAGATAGATTACTGGTTTAAGACTAACATGTTGGGCTCTCTGCAAATTATTTAACATCCTCCTCACCTGTGCTGGACGAAGGCATCTATCAGCTCTGGTCTCAGGCTGGCCAGGCTGTGATGATGCCTCCGAGGATAACCAAAGCTCTGACACTCCTCGGGCACCTCTCCCCTCTCCTCTGTCTGTGATAACTGGAAGTTAAGGTCAGGGGGAAAGGTCCGGAGAAGGTCCAAGATGTAGGGTCTTCCATCATTACCCAGAATGCCTTTGGTCTCGATGCCAGAACATAGCTCCACGGGGCTGTTGTTGTGGTCGAGCACCTGGTGACGCTGGATTCTCAGAGGTTTACTGGTTTTATCTAGAAGCTCCAGAAACCTGGTGAAATGTTTATAAATTGAAGGTTGCCCGTTTGAACATTTACTTAAACATGCTTTTAATACCTTCAAAATGTATAGTGTTTTCTGAGTGTGTTACCTGGGGTGTGTAAAAACAGTTTTCCCGTAGTCATTGGAGCCATAGACTACACTCTCCTGCTCCTGGTTTTTCTCCAGTATCCCAGGTACGATGGACTGAGCGATAACACGGATGCCACGATAATCCACCACAGCTGTTCCCAGTGTGTGAAGCCCCTCTATGTCTACAGATGCATAAGCCTGGAGCAGAGCAACATACATATTTAATTTGATAGTAGAACATGAGGGGAATGTAATAACAAATATTGAAAATAGAGGAAGGAAATGTGTCCATGCAACTGATTTTTTAAATCCACATAATACAATCCTTACAGGGCTATTGAAAGTGTCTCTTCTGCATCTAATATACTTTAAAACGTGAAAGAAGGTACAGTTAATGCATCCCAAACATCTCACAGCTCATGCAGGTGGTAACAATGTACCTGTGCCCCCCTCAGGTCACAGACGGCAGCAGCATGAGCAGCAGTGTTGCCCCCTAGTGGGAGGTAGTGCTCGGATATGTCGAACCCGAGGCTGAAGAACAAGTTGTTCCAGATGAACATCTGCATATGAGGCACCTCCCCGGGGTTTAATGGCATGACATTACCGTCGATAACGGCTACAGCTCCCCGTGTTGCAGCGGCCACAAAATCACTGTTCGCCTGGATGGAGGGATTCAAATCTTGGTTAACTCAGTTGCTCTCCCTTGATTTTAAAACACAATCTGATCCTGGAGTTGTAACAGGAAGGAGTACTCAGGGATGATGTATAACATATTTTGCTATTCTACTGTTTCCCTATTTACTCAGAGAATAAATCAGGAAAAATAGGGAGAAATATGCATTTTTGATTTTGGGGTGAAGTGTCCCTTTAAAATAATCTGTGGTGTCACCTTGAATAAGCTCCTCTCTCTCTGCAGGCGCTCTTGAAGAGAGTTCCTGGGGAGTTCCCTGCATCTCTGCAGCTCCTCATTCCAGTCTCGACTCTGCGATGATAACACACAACACATCAGCTTCAACATCACTATCAGTTAGCCTCAGATGCATCATAAAACCTTTGTTTTTATATACAAGTAAACAAATGCATCTTCCATAGGTTTTGTACTTTTCTGCAGTGTTACATTTCTCTGCATTTCTAAATGTTGCCATTTTTCTTCTATTTTATGTTTGCAACCTGCCCAGCTGTGTTCTCGTCCTGGCCCATGTGACTGGTGTGAGTCTCCTCTGCTCTGACACAGTCCAGGGTGTGATCTCCATAACGGGCGATCCAGGTGAACACCTGGAAAGGTGCTGCAATCCGCTCATAAGGGTGTTGCTGGACTCTGGTTAACAGAAAGTAACAGAAAAATGTCAAGAGTTACCCAGCCTCATTTCAACTCTGACATAACTTTATTTCAATCACAATATTGTTTTCATTTGAGCCTGATTACAAACAGTTAGCTCACCTCTTCTTCTGCAGGGCACTGAAGGTTTTCCTGAAAGCAGGGCTTACTTGACTCAGCAGCTCGACTAGAGAGTGGCAAAGGATTTTGGGAACTGCAGGTTTAGGGTTGAAGTTGAAGGCAGTTGACCTAAAGGAGTCAAAGCTCAAGTTTAATCCAGGTAGGTTTATTCTGTCACTATTGTATCTAACTACTTCGGCCCAGGATGTTATGTTTTCGTCTTTTGTCTTTCATGTTATAGCAGATGTACAAGAAAAGGTTTTCAAGTGATTACAATTCAGCCTTTGAGGGAAAGTGATGTTTTCATGTCATGGTTATTTATTCAGTATTTTGCAAGATTAGACACACTTTTTGTTACCCATGACTGTATCTACTAAATATTTTTGAGCCAACCCTATCAAAAGATTGTACTCAGGGTAAGTGAAAAAACTTTGACCTAAGGAAGTCAGGGGATCCCAAATGTTTTGCACACCATGAATATCTATATCAAATGTCATTGTTATCCATCTAACAGTTCTTGAGACAGTTGTTAGTGGTGGACTGGCCTACCAACACTGCCATCGACAGCTATCATGGCTAAAACGTTTCCAATTTAATAGCTCAGCAAATGTAAAATATTTGAACATTTAACACTCACTGGTTGAGGTAGAAACCACGTGTAGATGATGTAATGTTGAGTTCTTTGTCTTCCATAGTCACGACATTGAGGTACATCAAGTCCCCATGCATCTTCCTGTTTCCTGGAGGAGGGTTCCAGCTGCTCATGGTCAGAACCCGCAGGCACTGTAACGGCTGTAAAGATACTTTCCTATAGTCCCACTGATGCTTTAACTGAACACACAATCAATTACACATCTGATCTCTCACCTTCCAGTCATCTCTGAGCGGCTGCAGTGGGGTAAGTGGTCGTTCCTTACATCCAGGGAGGAGGTATTCTGGAGGGCTGCAGTCAACAGACTCCTTTTCAGAAGCTCGCCTGGTCCCCACACTGTCACTGTCTGAAGGGGTGAGCATGGAGGTGAAAAAGGTTGAATGATTAGTGACAGGAATGCTGAGACAATACCTGAAGCAAGGAGGTTATAAGAGAGGCATAGTACCCTTGCCTCTGGTGTAAAGAGTGAGGTAAGAGAGTGAGCTGCAGTTGACTCCGTTGTATGCATCTGCAGGGTCGAGGCTCTTCAGAAGATCACGAACATGTCTGAGATGAAGACGAGCGTCACGCACAGTGTAAGAATCTGCAACAAGATCAGAAAATATGCTTATATCGTTTTTAGTACAATTGGAAGATGATAAAACATGTTTTTGTTACTGTTGTACTAATGATACCACCATAAATCAGCACATAAAAACAATTCAGGAGGAAAAAGTGGAGTGAAAAGTGACTCAAATAAAGAAAGAATGATGATTTCATTCAAATCTGTGATAATGTGCAATTCAAAAACCTTCAGTGGCATGCAATCCAATATGGTGAGCATCATTTCTTCATTTCACAGATGATTTTACAGATAGTCATTTCTAATGTATCTATTTCATTAGGCTATGTTATTCCATATCTCACAGCCATGTAAAATTAACAGTACACATTATTTGCAAAAGGTGTTTTCACAAAATGCTGCTGGAAGTGAATGGAACATTTATAGTGATGTAAAGTGTAGATTGAGATAGTTGCTGGTGAAGTTTATAAAAGAAAAAGAAACTGTGGTTTTGCTGTGACGTTTCACAAATGATGTTTTAAACCTTCATGGATGATGTTGGAACGGTCTGATGGTCTGAGCCTGTGCAGATGAGACATAAAGAGAGAGCATCGGCCTGACACCTGTAAAGACGTTAATCACAGTTTTTGCAAGAGGTTCTACGTTGGACTAAAAAGGGCCTCTAGGTGAGGTGTTCGGTCAGCTGTAGACAATGTTGCATTTTGAAATGAACAACAAACTTGTTACCATAAAAACACAATAAAAGAAGAAAAATAATTTCAAAGATGAGGCAGTTACCCTCCACCACCTTGAACAGCGCTCCGTCCTGGATCCCCTGTATGGAGCGTAGCTCGGATTGGCTGTCGAGCGCGGTGCCTCCCAGCTGGAGGGAGAAGCTTGTGAGGTGGCAGGTGACCTCGTGCTCCATCAGCACCTGATGCAGCTCCGCCACAACCATCTGGCCTGACACCTGAGGAGAGTTGGATTTGAGTGATTCAGAAAGACATGAGGATAAATTGAAGTATCTTTGAGAAAATAACGGTGAGGTAAACAGGAACCTGGAGCTCAAAGCTTTCTGAAGCAGGAGGTTGAATCCTGACGGTAAAGTCTGGCTCCTGGAGATCAACTACATCACTGATGCTGACTTTTCTTTTATCAGCATCAGACTGCTGTTGACCATCATCCTCATGGCTTTCTTCAGTCTGACATGGAGGTGCTGCAACAGCAGATACAACAACAAAAGGTGTGAAGATGAAAACTGGTTGCTTATTTGGTAGTTCACTTTTCACAGAGTTGAACTGAAAAGGGAAAATGGAAAATGAACTATTATTACTTGTATTCCTAAAATGTAAATGACCTTATTGAAATGCAAAAGATTGAATAAAAACAGCAAATTAAAACATATATACCCAAATATATAGTTTCTATCCCTTTTTAAAATGTCCATTCAAAAATATTAATTTCTCTTTTTAAAATTCAAATGTATGATCTACTTAAATATTCTGAATTCTGAATATGAGTAAAACAATCCTTCTTATAGTGATTATCCGCTGAACAAGATGCAAGTATAGCAGCCTCAGAGACATGTTTGAGTATCACAGTTGTCAAAAACATTCTAGCAAAGAGAAACACAGTCAAATAAAATCACGCACCTTTGACATGTGGTGCTGCCAGAAACAGCCGGTCAACTAAAAACAAGGTTTGCTTTATCTCAGTCTCTTCCTCCTCCACCTGTGGCAGAGCTGTCTCGTTGTCACCCTCCTCTTCCCTCTTTTCTGGGTCCTGACATTGAATATGATCTGCATTTAAATCAGACTGATCTGTGTGGTTTGTGTCTGTTGGGAAAACATTACTGTCCTTTGCATCATCATTATGATACAACATCACAGTGGCCTGGTCCATCTGTTCATCATCCTGATTGCTCTGTTGTGTCGGCTCTACACAACACTCAGCAGGGTCAACAATGTCCACAAGTTCAACACTTTTGATGCTGCGTTTTGTTGTCTGAAGGTCTTTCTGTGACTCAATGTTGTCATCCATACAGTTGTTGTGTTCAGTCACTAAAGTGTGATTTGGTTCGATATTTTGTTCTGTGTCACTAACATTCTCCTGTGTCGGCTCTGTCAGGGCAAAGTTTGAAATGTCCTGAAGAGCAGCAGCATCCTTTTGCAACAATACATTTTCTTCATCAGCGCTTAGCTGCTCTATTTGCTTGGTGTTTTGTTCAGTTTGAAATGTATGTTTTGTTAAAGTGGAAGTCAGTTCCTCATGGATGATAGTCTCTTTCAGTTCTTCCTGTTCACCTTTCATGCCTATATCACTGAAAGGCATGTTGTCTTCCTCTGTCATGTCAGACCAGGTTCCAAAATCCATCCTTCTCTCTTGTTTCTCTGATGCCATTATAGTAAAAATATTGGAGTGTCTCCCTTGTGATGTTTGTGCCTCCAAGAGCACATCCACCTGTTTTAATATTTCATGTTCCACGACCTTCCCCCTTGTTATTTCTCTCTCCACAGTCTCAGCATTACACACAAGTATTTCAGTTAGTGCCTGAACCTCCTCCTGTGACTCAGTCTGGGTCTGCACCCCCATACCGATATGTGTCTCCACTTCGGTCTGTGTCTCAACCTCAGAAAACTCCCTGTTTCTCCACCTGTTTCTCCACTCTTGTGCTTCATCTCCTGGCTCAAGCGTCCTCACTCCCTCCTCCTCCTCAGACACCAGCAGACACACCATCGGCTCCACCAGAGTCACATCCCCTCCCAGGTTGCTGCTTAGGATGATGTCAGGAAACAGGAAGTGCTCTGGTTCTAGAGCTGGGTTTGTGATGCCGGTGGAGATAATGGATAACAGATCGTCCTCCAAGTCCTCTGGCAGGCTCTGAGATTCACATTCACTGTCGTCGCTGGAAAGCAGAGGGGATCTCTCCGCCTCACCTTGGGCCGCCGCATCCTTAAACTTGAAGTAGTTTGATAGTGTTTGACAGCACTGGATTATGTTTCCCATGATGCTTATCTGCATCGAACAGCAATTGTGAAGGTGGCTTGAATGACAAAAGACGACAGTGTTAAAGTTGGTTCAGTAACAACAAGCTTTTAAGGAAACTCTAATAACATGTACAGTATATCAATAACTCACCCCTGTTGTTCTTATAAGTCTCCAAGATAAACAAATACAAAAGGACTTAAATGATGAAGAAAAACCTTGCTATTTTAGTAAGATTTTGAACAGGAAGTGCTCCTAGACTAGCGCAAGGCTTTTAATGTAGAAGTATTTAAAGTAGTAAAGGTTTTCTGCAAAAAATGCGTTTGGGAAGTAGTTAACAAACAACTGAATAAATGAGACTTTGCTTTTCACAAAACTAAACAAAAAGTTAGTTTTGAGTAATTTATATAGAAATGGTCATTTTGTGGGTGAAGTTAATTTACTTGTTAAACCTTAAATCCATGTGTAATCTTGAATCAAGCTGCGAAGTATTAACTGCAAAAGGCTCTGCCACTGTCACATGTGTGTGGCATGTGTGAATGTGAGCAGCTAAGAGCCTTACAACAGCTGATGACAGGAGTGTTATAAAGTGCAGCAGTGTCAACTTACAGAGGAAAGAATTGGACAAGCTCAGGGGTGAAATCTCATCAGATGAACTCTGGAATGTTGTCGATACATGGCAATCCTGGGGAAAAGATGAAGGGGAGCAATGAACAAGATTTTAGAGTAAAAAAGGGTTGGAAATACTATTGTTTGGCTTTATAATAACTCATAACAGCAGGCTATTAGATGTATGCAACAGACACACTTTTTATATCCTGAATGTTTTTATGAAAGCATTCCACCTTATTTAAGCTCATGAGATGCAGCAGAAATAAAATGGATGCATCTCAAACAACAGAAGGATATTTGTGACATAATATTAAGAAATCTGTGGGCCTACCTGCCAGTGCAGAGAGAGGGAGAGACAGCCAGCCTGTCATTTTCTGTCCATCCTGAAACAAAAGAGCTGAGTCTCAGAGTATCTCCTCTCCAGCGGGAGGCTCCCCTGTCCTTGCTGCAAAACCCGTCACACAAAATGTGTGTTAGTGCATGTGTGTGTGTCTGCCCTTCATGTGTGGAGAGGAAGCTGTGAGAGAGCATGTAGGCCCTCCTTTCACACACACACATGCACATCCACACACTTAGTTATTACCTGACAAATCCAGAAGAGGGCAGCTTCTCTGCCTGTTCATGATGTAACTTCCTGTATTCAGACTGGTCCATGCTCTCTCTATCAACCTTGAAAGTGAGCAGAGCAGGAGGTGTATTATAAAGAGCAGCAGCAGGATTTCTGGCGCCTCTTTTATATTTTGGAGACTACACAAGGCATGATGACAGTCCTGAAACAAACAAGCCTTCAGTATTTTGTTTGTTGTTATTTATTTCTCTTCACACTTTGAGCTTTCTGAATGGAGCTCTGCCGTTGCCATGGCAGCGCTGCAGAGAGACATTAACATTCTGAGCACGGTCTCCAAGACAACTGTGGGAACATTCTAGAATGGGACGTTTGCTAGGAGACCAGTTACACCGGTTGATGCATGTGAATGAGTTTCATCCTTCTTTGAATTAAAAGTGAATGACTCAATATCTCCTCATTATCATCATTACATTAATCAACCAAAAGTTATACTGAAAAGCTTTTTCAATTATTATTTTATATTTTGATTGATCTCATCATCAATTTTCCTGTTTATTTACCAACTCACATGCCAGTTTCTTTTAATGTAATTGCTCTTGTAAGGACCACAACCATAAGTCATTTAAAGGAGCAGTGTGAAGGATTTAGTGGCATCTAGTGGTAACTTTGCAAATTGTAACCTAAACACCTTTTACAAGCCTGTCAGAGGACTATAGTGGCATTAAGGTAACACTAAAAATGTCAAAGCCCTTTTTTTAAATCAGTGTTTGGTTTGACCATTCTAGGCTACTGTAGAACAACACAGCTGTGCAACATGTCAGACTTTGTGAAGAGGATCTGCTCTCTATGTTGGGCTTATTATAAGCTTACTAACATGACTATTCTTTGTTTCAGGCGAGAAAAGACTAATGAGAAAACAATGAGTATTAATTAAACTATGCCATTAAAATTCCTTCTAAATCCTACACAATTGCTACATCTTCAGCTTAGGCAACCCACCCTGATCACAGATACACTATTGGCCCCACTACTACACCCATTCCATCTCTGCCTTTAGTTTGGCCTCAACTACACGTGTATAGTTTCATTACTGCATCTTGCACAGTCGTGATGCTATGCAGTGACAAAATCTGTCCACAAACATAATACAAAAATATTTAAAGCATAGTTATGCAAAACGTTCAACGTTCAAACACTGAGAACAGACACCAGAAACACTTCTCTGCCATTACTAGGCACATTGCATGAATTTAATAAAGTGCAAATCATACAAAATGTCCCTAAGCCTTCTTAAAGTGACTTTCCAAACCTGGAATGCGGCTGGTGCAGTGAAAAAGCAGTTTGCCACATTGAACAGTGCGATGAGTTTGACTTTGAGGCAAGGCTACTAATTACAAGCAGAAGCCTTGATCAACAGTGTCAAAATCCATATTTAACCCTACCACTACTCATTCTGGTTTGACACACTCATTTTTCACATTTTCCATGTTGTACCATCAATGTGATAAATCAGTTAATAGCTTAAAGTGGATGTTCAATCACACGCTCTTGTATAACTAACTTCTAAATATATAAGTCACTTCCTGAAATCTACAGACAATCACAAAGGTACATTTCTCTCTTCTCAAGCATCAGAGTCCTCTGGAAGACAACATTGCCTTTTTTCTCTTCATCACAGAGCAGTTTCTCCCTCTCCTGCTCCCATGTCCACCCTCCTGTGCACCCTGCTGTCATCTATGTCCTCCCACTCGTCCTCCACCGCCTCTCCATCCTGCGTTCTGTTTGGTCGGTTCAAGCGAAGGAGGCGGAATCTAAGCGGCACCAAGAAGAGGGCGGGGTCGGGCATGGAGTGAGGCCTCTGGGGGGAAGTCACTCTCTCCTGCGGGACACATGCTCTGACCCTCTCCTCCCGCAGGCTGACCCGCCTCTTGTGTCTCGCTTCCTGCTGGTCGGGAGAGGCTGGAGGAGGTGGAGACAGAAGCCAGTCTGAGCCCGCCCCTTCATAATCTTCATCCTCCTCACCTTCATCCTCCTCCTCCTCCTCCTCTTCTTCTTCTTCCTCCTTGCCCGTGGGTTCCTCCTCTCCCTCTGCACCAGACTCCGTGCTCTGCCTTTGCTGGAACAGTTTTAAGCGTGCAGTGTGGAGCTCGTGGCAGAGGGTCGTGGTGGTGACATTTTGGCGTTGCAGCTCACGACTCAGCAGCGTGATTTTGTGGCTTCTACGTTTCAGTTCCTCCAGGAAATGCCGCTCTTCCTCCCTCAGGTTCCTGCCCAGTGCTGATGCCCGAGCCCGACCCACTCGCAGCTCCCCACGTGCAGCGACCATCATGCACTGCTGCTCCTCCAGGAGATGCACGGCAGCCTCACAGCGTGCTACCAGCTCTGCTTCCTCCACTGAGAAACAAAAACACGTACAGGGTTGACTAAAGTATATATAAATAGATACTGTATATGTTCAGGAGATTATGTTTCCATTAGCGTCAGTTTTTCTATCCTTCATATCTCTTTCACTTCATCTGCTTGATCAATATCTTTCAGATTACATTTCATAAAATGTTCTTTTCACTGCACCCTTTTGTGCTCCTTCACACACTTGGAGGAACTTGACTGGATAATTATCATGGTTGTTGCAGAAATGAATGCAAAACCACAGTGCTTAATGGTTCTTGTGCATGCTGCTGAAAAATATATTACATATCAGATATGTAAAAATGATTATTATAGTAATGCAAAGGATAATCTTGAATTACTGGCAAAATGTTGAATTGTGCTTTTTCTACACTTCTCTATAACTCCCTGATATAATTTCCTCATTGTCAGCCAGGAGTTGTTTTGTCTCACCTTCTGTGCTTCTGTCAGGAAACCTGGAATCCAGCTCACAGCTTAGCTCTGCAACCAGGAGGAGTAGAAGGACAACAGAAGACAGAAAAAGATAAGACAGACAGATGAGATTATTTTTGGAGCATTAACTGGAAACAAGGAAGCTGGAGACCGATCTGATGTCTGACAAAATTGACATTTTTGGAAAAACCGCACCAGAGAAATGACAATGCAAACAGAGAAGCGTTTAGGCTGTATGCCACAGTCAGTTCTCCTGGATTCTCCCTGGGTCTGCATATTTAACCAATTATTAGGCTAATATGTAGAAAGTCTACTGTTTGAACATATTATGTGTAGGCCTATATATATTTATAGATCAAAGAATTAGTAAAATAAATAAATAAAGGGACCTATTATGCTTATTTCCAGGTTCATATTAGTATTGTGTGCCTCTACTGTGACATGTTTACATGCTTTAATGTTCAAAAAGTGCCTTATTTTTTTTCATACTGTCTGTACTGCAGCACCTCTTTTCACCCTCTGTCTGAAACCAGAGCCCAGTCTGCTCTGATTGGATAGATGGCCGGCTTTGTTGTGATTGGTCCACCGCTTAGATATGTTCCGCCCCTAAGCTTATCACATACAATGTGAGCGCTAGCCAATAGAAGAGTGAGAGTTACGTAGTGATGTCACTATGTTGCGGAAGTAAACAAAGGAGTCCAATGGAGGCGTTTCAGGCAGGGGACTTTGAACTTTGGGATTTTAGCCTATGCAGTCCAGTTGCATACACATAAACCTATACAACACACAAAAGGAAAGAGAACACCCCAAAAAGCTTTATAGGGCCCTGCAAACAACAGGTAATCAAGACTGACCATGACAGCGCCTCTTCAGGTGTGTGATCTCCAGCTGCAGACCGGCCAACATGGCCAGGTGCTCCTGCTTCAGGAAGGCGATTCCTCTCTCCACACTGGCCACCTGCTGCTCCAGCTCCCCAGCATCCATGGCTGCACCGCACACAACCTGCACACAGAAGCATGTAGCTGAGGGATTTCCCAGTGTCCCAATTTGAGCTCTGATAAAGAGTTTGAATATTATACGGTTTATTGCATGCTAAACACATTAAAACACTACCATTTATCCAGCTAGTGATAACCATCTGTTAGTCTGCTTAATATTCTATCAAATTGAGATTTTCTGCAAGAGCTTTATAAGGTAATTTTCTTATAAGCTAATGTGCAAGCACAACATCTTCAACAATCTCATTTAGTGTTATTTCTCCTTCATAAAAGCTGCTTCCTTTCTGCACCTTTGCTCACTTTCGCTCAGTATACCTGTAACATGCATTCACCAGTCTGACCGTGGCCTACCGTGATACTGAAGCTGTTTCCGATGCAAAGCGCCTCTCATGGATGCTCGTATCGCCCCGCTATCTGTCCTCTGCAGCGGAGATGCAGAAAACAAAAGAGCGAGACGGCGCTTCCTCTCTGAGCTCCCAGGTGAGCTGTAACACTGGTGCAGCAGGCGCTTTTCTTGAAGTGTGAATGAATCCTGCTGCAGTCAAAAATAACCTCCTCATAACCTTCTGGTTGTACGTGCAGTGCGGTCCTGCCGCTATTCACAACAATGCAGCCCTCTGTGAGGAGCGATCAGCGCCGCGGACAGCAGCAGCAGCAGCATGGGGAGGAGGAGCTCCGTGGAAATGAAGCTGTCAGCTGGTGCAAACAGATAGATCCTTTTATTCTTCAAGATGATGAAGTGAGTGAAATGAAAGTATTAGAAAAAACTTGTATTTTTTTATAATTTTTTTTATTTGCATTTTTATTAATTATGTAATGAGAAAAAACGTTTAAAATGTATATGTAGAGAACTAAAACATATATATTTGTTATCATTTCAATATAAATATATAAACATACAGTATGTTTGTGTCTATTTATGGTTGTTGAATGTATACATATACATATTCACATATTCCTGTAGGGCAAAGGTGATATTTATATCATTCTTGTTGAACAATCTCTGGGCGGAGTGATGCTTACAATACAAGAACAACTGCACAAGTTCAGGTTGAATTTATTGGCTCTGTTTGCTAAATAATAATAATAATAATAATAATACATATTATTTATATAGCGCTTTTCCTGGTGCTCAAAGCGCTTGAACATGATTATTTATGATATTATGGACATCGTCCCTTTAGTTGTGCAGAGTAATCGGCCATCAGTGACAATAAAACCCAAATACATTCTGACAGCAGGTAGAACTAAAAGCATTATTTTCAGTGTTGCCAATTGCTTCCTGTGAATTGGTTGACAAGGCTAAGCCTCTCCTTCTTGCACTCCTGTTTGTCACTGATGCTGGGCAGGGGGACAGGCTCAATGCTCAGAGAGGTCTTATAGTAAGGGCAGACTTTGAGGTGTGCAGATATTGGAGGGACATCTGCCATATGCCATGATTCCACTGAGGAGAACAAGTGACTGAACTCCCATACCTAGAGAGCAACAGGAGGAAAAGGAAACAGTTAGTACAGGATTTGTTATTACAAAACACAGTGGTTGTGTCGGATGATTTAGTATTTATATCTCACAGGTTTGGCCCTCCACTTGGCTCCTCCATGTGAGTATGTCTTCTTCTCCCAGCGGAGGGTGACCATGCCTCTCTCCTGCAGCAGAGAGGAGCTCACCTGCCTCATCAGCTGGGACACCAGAGCCAGCTGGGACAGAGACAGACTGTCCAGGAAACTGGCCATGTGGCAAAGCACCTCAAAGGGCAGTATGCTCAGAGAGTCTTCCCCGTCTCCCCCTTTCCGACCTCCTCTCTTCCTCTGAGTGGTGGAGGGGTCCTCTGAGCTCCTGGACGACTGGGAGGTGTCACCTTCTGAGGCTGCGAGTGTCGGACGCAAGTTGAAAATCCTGAGATGCTGACTGTGGGGAAGAAAATGCACTAGGTAGTATATTACCAAAACAAATATCGGAAGGGGTCCTGCTTTATGATTGTGTTCACAACACTTTACTGTGTCGTGAAGTGTCAGCAGGTCAAAACCTTAATAGATTTTTGAGCTTTGCAGCACAGCAATCTGTATACACAACATTGACACGTCATCGGGTTGCTTACCAGCAGTTAAGGAGCAACATTATTATTAATGGACTCATGTTGTTGCCACCTAGCGTATGCAAGTCCAATAATTCCTCTCTTTAAGCTCTGTTTTGGTCTCCACCAAATCCTGAGGGAAATTTGTATCCCTTTAGATGCTAAATGCTCCACTTAGTCATAAGCTAGTCTCTGAATTTGCCAATATGCTGCTTAGTGCTGTGTAACTTATACATCTAATGACAGCAGTAAGATTGAACCAAAACAATAAAGTTGAAGGTTGGATCACAATAAGCTAAAACTAGTTGGACATGGTCATATGAGCACGAAATTAACATTGCCGAGTATTGGCCTTCTATTCACTTCAATGCTATGCTTGCAAAGGGGCTAATAAATCATTTGCTTCTGGTTGCATCACAATGAGTTCAACTTTGGTAAACTTTGGAAGGCAAAGCAGTGTGTCTGTGGTTGACCCAAATTGGCACTACCCACTTTCAGCACAAATACAGTACAGTGTGGTTATCAGTTGCCCATCAGTGCATGTGTGACTTTGTGCTAAACCTCTGTAAAGCCGAGGCGAGCTGCAGATTCAGGTGATAATTCTCGGTAAGTTCAACACTACGAGTTCACATTGTCACATTACTTTCACATTGCCATTTGATGCAATGTATCAGAGAAATATTAAAGGACTCTAAATATTGGAGTCTGAATGGGAAACAGTGCTCACTTGTAGGAGACGGTGGCTTTATGTGTGGAGGGCTGAAACCTCTTCTGGCTGAAGGTGCATCCCAGGTATGATAGGGGGCATCTCTGCTCGAACCATCCACTCAGACTCGTCTGGATGTCACTGTGGACGTTCCTGGAAGATTTGACAAATCATTAATTACTACTTTAATGTTAGTACTTTGCAATAAGAGGAATTCAGCAGGGGTCAAAACACAAACTCAGTCAAACTCAGACACCTGTAATGTGTGGCGAACTCTCTGCGGTGGAAGGTGTGACCGCAGAGAAAGGTGAAGGCACAGCCGGCTCTGGTGTTCCTGCCGCTCACTCTCTCTGACTGCAGCTGGAGAAGGAGCTTCAGCGGCCGGTCCACCATCGCCTCCGCCAGGGTCGTCTTCGCTTTAAACGGAGCCTTGCGGAACGAGTGCGTCTGCGTTCCTACATCCACATAAAGCCCATCGGCGGCATTGGACTCACTGATCTGCATGGAAACCAATCAATCATTCAATGGTGAGCATACCACTTTTTGTTGTTGTTGAATAAGGCCAATGTTATCCACTCACTATCAAAATGAGGTTATTTAAAAAATAAAACTATTAAATCAGGTGTTTACTATAAAGGAGCTAATATCTTACTTTTGTGACCATTTTCAATAGTATAAAACAATAATACAAATCAGACTGACCTTGTGACCCCTGACCTCTATCTCAGCGTAGCCCAGCAGGGTGGCTGGAGCTTCATCACTGAACCAGTCCTCTTCATCGACCTTGAGGTCCGATGTGTCCACACTGCGGGGCTCGCTCGGAGGTCGAGTCGAGTCATAGTAATGAACCCTCCGCTCACCGTAGTGATAGCTGTCGGGGATCTAACAGGAAGAAATATATTCACCATTAGAAGCCAAGCGAGTACAGTAACACGTCTTCTTTAGGTCAGTTTTATTGGTAAATGTTTTGTTTATGATTATTTTGAAGCTGTTTTGGGCAACTTTGAGCATTAATCTAGATCAGTCCAGTTTTTTCTTTGTTCTGTATGCAACAGGTCAGTATGCCCTGTGACCAATGAGCACAATGACAATGTCAAATTAAACGCGCAAGAGACCTATTTTGGGTTCGAGTTTCACCTTAAAAGTTTTGGCAGTTCAGTAAGTAGCCATGTGAGTCAAGAGCAATGGAAGATGATGGAGCTGTATAACTGAAGTCAGGCTTTGGAAACCCTTATTTATTTTTTAGCAAAAACCATATAAAAGTCACTTAAAAATAAATGTACCAACACATGTTTGATATTTAAAATAATATTATAAAATTATAATATTTATGACAACAACCACTGGATTGCCCCCAAAAAAAGACAAAAGAAAAACAATTGTTTTGCCCAATGAACTCTTAGCTTTGAACCCTCACCTTGAAGGAGTACAGGGTCTGGACTGGAATTGGCTCCAGGCTGCCGTAGACAAAATCGTCCTCCCTTGGTGTGCAGGCCTTGATTTTCCCGAAGGCAAGCAGCATGCTGCCATGATGCACCATGTACATGTTGAACTCCTGCGGGGTGAGCTCGTTCCCCAGACGCTCCATCACCCCCTCCTGCCACGGGGCGTGACCTGTTTTACCTGTGTCTGCAGCTGCTTCCTTTTTCTCTGTGTCCTTCTCTTCGGGGTTTGGGTTTTGTTTGGGATTGTCTTGGTTTGCCTGAGCAGCAGCACAGCCGCCTCTCTCCATGCTGAACATCATGTCACACAGGTTGTATGTCCCTTTGAAGGGGCCTGAGATTTGCCCTAATCCGTTCTGTTCAACAACATTACTCCCACACGAGTTGCTTTCTGCAGAAACTGATGTGAGGAAACAGAAAACAGTGATGAAAATACAACAGTTGAGGAGAAAAAAGAACTTCTATTATTTTGTGAGTTTAAAATATAGATAACATACCTTCATTAGTAGCTGTGTCTGTGTCACCGTTAACAAACCCTCCTATTGCAGCCTCTTCTTTCTTCTCCTTCTCTTCTGCCTCCATCAACTCTGGATAGATAGGATTCATTTCCAGGCGTTCATAAAGGTCTGTCTGATCCACCAGGGCCATGGCGAGGTCTAGAGGCTGCTCCTGCCCTTCACTTTCCTTCAGCACGTTCTCCTGCAGGGCTATTTCGCTGTGAGGGTTTGTTTCGTCAATCGGCCACCGGATCCACTCCATGGAGCAACACACCAGGCTGGCAGGACACACCTGGAGGTGAGCTGCCTGTGAGGAGCGAGGCATGTGGAGCGGGCAGCCGAACCCAGCGTTGAGGCAGGGCACCCTCACGTTGGGGCAGAGCAGCAGGTGGTCCTCCTCTTTGCACAGGTGGAAGACAGCTCCACAGAGCAGGCGGCAGGGCATGACAGCGCAGCAAACAGAGACCTCCACCCGAGCCCTGCAGCGCCGACTGTAGCAGGAATCACAGTGGGCATGCTGTCTCACCCTGGTGGCTCGAGTACGATCACTCTGATTGGGTTCACAGAGGAAGAAATGAAAGAAAAGAACAAAATATATATACTGTTTATGAAACATCAAGGCTTTAACATATTTTGATTCAATAAGAATTACAAGAAAGTGAAGACTCACCATCTTTAGGTCTTGTAATCCTGCAACAAAAATACATTACATTACTATTAGCTGATGCTTTTAATCAAAGCCACTGACAATAAGAACAGATACCTAAATCTGTAATGTTAACCTTAAAGAGGGAAATCACATTGCGAGTCATTAGGCTTGTAAAAGACATGTTTCTCTTGCGAGTGAATCTCTCCTCCCTGTTTTGATTGAATGTTATTTAGAGGCCTGACATTTTCCACTTCTCAAGAGTTTGAGCAAGTATTCATTTTGGTGTTTTATTGTTTTCATATAATGTTATCTCATGACCCCTCAGATGTAAACGCTGACCCTTCTAGGTCCGACATACTGCTCGCTGTACAACAAATCAGCAGCACAGTTAAACAGTAAACCTGTTTCACTTGCACTAAACTCTAGAAAAACATTCCTTCTTCTTTCTCACCTGATACTCTAAGTAAGCAGTAATCTATATTTCCTGTGGCACTGTGAAAACAAGATAGACATAAGCAGCTGAAGTACTTAAACTCTACAGTTGTATTACATGTCTGAGTAGTATGACTTTACTGTTTGTAATTAGCATCAACACACATAAACGCAATCAAATAGTTCAACCCATTCACAACGAGAACAAATCTTATCTTATCAAAGGTCTCACCAAGGTCCCACTGCAGACACGTTGCTTCCTTCTCCATTTGTAACGTTGCTTTCAGTGCGTGTGCGCTTTGAACTGGCGGGTTAAAATTAGAAGAGCAGCACCAAGGTTCAGCAGGAGGAATAACGCCTCCCTACCCTCCATTTAGTTTATGCAATGGATTCATCCAGCTCATTTTGATAAATACTTCCTATCTGAGGGCTGAAATAATGTGAACCTGTTTCCAGGTCCACATAAAGAGTAACGTATATGGATTTGACACACTGAATAAATCTCTACTAGAGGACACTGTTTGGATATTAGCCTTTTTTCCCTGCATGTGGAACTCAATTATAAGCACACCACAATAACAAACAGAGGGGAGAGGGTTAGAGAGCTTTCCTGATGTAAGCGTCTGAGGCTGCTGGTAACTCAAACCATGTTTCTGACCACCTGTGAAACATTTCTCGGTCCGTCCTCTTAGCTCTATTAATAACACACACACATAGCAGAAATACACACACTCACAGAGACACTTGGTCTTTAAAGTTCAAGACGGAGCATGTTCTGTCATTTGTATTCTCTTACAGCGGTATGCTAAAGACTGTACTTCACTGCTGCTGCCCATTGAATGCCACAGGACTGCCAGTGTGTGTTCACATGCAAGACTTTGATATTTTACGTTTCTTCTTTGTTTGCAGGATTGACCAACAGCTTCAGATACAAAACTGGTGCCAGAAGATCTGAAGCATGGTATGGTTGGATTTTGTAACTCTAAGATTTTTTTTTCTGTTGTAAATTCCCCTTTTGTGGGAGAAATAAAGGAATTCTGAATCTTAATTAGTTGATATCCCTTTATAGCGTTAAGGGGGTTAAAATAGTAGACCATATTCTGTTTTTACAAAAAGGGAAATTAACTTAAAACACAGTTCTGTTGATTTGAACGATGTTTGGCTGCAGAGCACAAGTTTGACCCTCACACCACTTGTTGGGGTCACTGGAGTAAATAGAGGTTAAAGAAACAATGAGTAGGATTTTCCTTAGACTTGTACAAAAATAATCCATCTCAATTATCACTTATGACCCACAGGAAGTGTGTGGCGTTGCCTGTATTTGCAGGTCTGTCCTCTGCATGCGTTTTAAACAGACAGAAAGCTAGAGAGTTATTGTCAGACAGCAAATCTGGGGTTGGTTTACACTCACTGGAAAACATGAATGGTGTGATTACAAAGTCCCAACCAACCGATCCAACTCACTGTCATGCTTCATGATGGCTTTTTTTTTATCTGTAGCTGGCGTTAAACTGTGGAATTATTTACCGAATGATTTAAAAGGGCTTTATGGACATCTTTAGGATTAAGAAAATGTATAAATAAATAATAATTAGACAGCATGGAGATGTCAGGTAACCCGTTTCGCTGATTGTTGTGGTGACTTTTGATTTAGTTTTTTTGGGTTTCAAGTGACTGTAAATTGTGCTTGTAAGCAGCTGTGATTGATACACCATCTATTTTTGATTAAGCTGCAGGTAAAATAAGACTTTATTCTCCCTGCATCTTTCCATCATGGGCTATATAAAAAAAAAAAACAGCTTGAAGTGTATGTGTGAGTTTTGGTCAGTGTTCCTAAGGGTCGGGAGGTCCTATCTCATAAACATCATTTATATGCTGTCCTTTTCTTTAATTTCTTCCTCTGTGAACCCAATCAGAGTGATCATACTCGAGCCTCCAGGGTGAGACAGCATGCCCACTGTGATTCCTGCTACAGTCGGCGCTGCAGGGCTCAGGTGGAGGTCTCAGTTTGCTGCGCTGTCATCCCCTGCCGCCTGCTCTGTGGAGCTGTCTTCCACCTGTGCAAAGAGGAGGACCACCTGCTGCTCTGCCCCAACGTGAGGGTGCCCTGCCTCAACGCTGGGTTCGGCTGCCCGCTCCACATGCCTCGCTCCTCACAGGCAGCTCACCTCCAGGTGTGCCCTGCCAGCCTGGTGTGTTGCTCCATGGAGTGGAACCGCTGGCCGGCCAATGACGCCCACTCTTATCCGAACACGGAGCTGCATGAAAACCTTATCAGGGAAAGGGAGCAGGGCGGATGTCTGGACCTGGCCATGGCCCTGAAAGACCAGGACCTGCTATTTCACTCCATGAAGATGAAGAATTTGTTCCCAGAGCTGACCCAGAGTGTGGATGAGGTGGAGAAAGAGGAAGAGAAGAGGAAGAGGAAGGGGAAGCAGAAGCAGAAGAAGGAGGCAGCAGAAAAGGCCGCAATGGAGGCTCTCAATCTCAAAAGTTCTCAATCCTTGGAGCCTTTTCACGCGCTTGTCATGAACAACAACGGTGAAATAAAATATGAGAATGAAGATGAGGTTGAGCTTACTCAGGAGGAGAGACTCTGGACTATGGACTCAACAGTTGATGCTGATCTCTTAGAAAACTACAACGCCTGGGAGCGAATGTTCAGTAAGGACATGGGTGGCTGCAGGGAAGCAGGAAAGGCAGCCAAAGACCAGAGTCGTTCTGCAGGGAGAGGAACAGGTCTAGGGACTCTAACAGAGGAAGACACAGAGGATAACTGTGGGGGTGCAGCAGCCTCGAACACGTGCACACAGGGGAGCAGTGCATGCATTGCTTCCAACTCCTCTTCTAGTCTCGCTGGCAAACTGAAGCAAAAGGAATTTGTTTACGGATATGTGGAGCCCATGAAGATTATCACTGTGCGGACCTTTAAAACGCCAACCAGCTTCTCTGCAAAGCATTCCCGCATCCGCAACCCTGGCTTCTACAAGAGGGAGAAAAAAGCTGTGGACACCAGCGACCTGGGGGTGTCCCTGCAGGAGATGCCAGTGTGGGAGGAAGTTCAGGTCAGAGACAAATTCATACCACTTTTAAACACACAATATGAAATACCACTACCACTAGGGGTGAAAACAATAACATGGTTTGATTGCTTACCAAGGTTGCCTGTGATCTTAGTAGTTTATCATTACTTTTCCTGGTGAAGACTTGCTGTATGCCACAAAACCAAAGAAAGCAAAGGGCCGATAGAGGCTAAAATGGCTAACAATTCCAGTAGAGCTGAGGGGACCTGCAGTGGAGTGATAATTACCTGTGGACTTATCAGTATTATCTCTAAGACAGAGAGAACTTTTCACATCTTACCTTTTTGTATAAAAGCATTACCATGACAAATTCACAATTCTTTAAAATATGTGCTCGAATATAAAAGAAATTCAACATGATCCATTATCCTTTTAGTCAATTATCTAAAATGCCTACATATATTTGGGTTTGAGGCTTTAGATTGGAAAAGTAATGTATAGTTTCATTTTGGGCTCTGGTGCATTGTGAAAGACATTTTTGAATGTGCTATAAGCTGTTCCGAAAGCGTTCAAGATGACAAAAAGACTATTATCTATCTTTCTTCTATGCAAAAAGAACTAGACAAACCAGAGCATCTTGTTCACTGAAACCCCTCCAACATGATTGATCTATTTATCAAAAGAATAACTGATGTATCACTGTGTTGTGTTGGATCTGCTCCTCAGGCCTCTCTGCTGTGCTCCCTGGAGAAGGAGCAGAGGGGTCACCTCATCGCAGAGAGCAGGTGCATGGACGGTCTGTTACAGGACGAGGGAACGCAGACTTACAACTTCCTGTCTGCCCCGTTCCTGAGAAACACATCGCTGGCAGATCTGACTGCTGCTAAACCTCTGGAGCTGCACCTCCAGCTGCAGGTGGAGAGCGTCACCAGCCGGCACCACAAGGCCAGCTCCGCCTTCACCTTCCTCTGCGGACACAACTTCAAACGCAGAGAATATGGCAAACATTATAAGTGGGTTTTGTATCTGGGTATCCAAATATCTTTGGAATTCATATTTTTTTATATTCTTGTCTCCGACCTGAACTTCCTCCCACACTATTATTGAAGAGGTTTTAGGAGAGGCACAGTGAGTAGAAGAGGGGAAGCATTAGATGAAGTCAATACATACATACATATAAAGAAACATGCGTGTCATTTTGTAAAATAGATGCGGACATTTTGGAGTATTTTACGGTTTCTCTTTTCTCCCCAGAGCCTGAAAATAAACGAAGCCTTAGTAAAGACAATATAAGGCTTTCTTGGCCCAATTCTTGATTGTCTTCTGGTTTAGATAAAACTAAAAACATAATCAGGATACCATAGGAATCCAGAAACTTAGTGAAACTACCAAGTAAGCTAAGTGGGGATGACAGGGCACCTTTTTCCAAGCTTTGTTCAATAAGTGCAAACCTTGAAACCCACAATTTATTCTATTCCGTAGAAAGTCAGGGACATAATCAGATTTTTCATAATGCACTAAACACCATCTCTCTGTCACGGTGAGACGAGAAGAATCCCTAGTGATTAAAACGTCAGATCAATTGATATGTCTGTTATTTATATATTAAATGATCGTAGCAATGATCAATATGCTCTCTCGTGCAGGAACGTCCACAGTGACATTCAGATGTGTGTGAATGGATGGTTCGAGCAGAGATGCCCCCTATCATACCTGGGATGCACCTATAGCCAGAAGAGGTTTCAGCCGTCCACACATGAAGCCACCGTCTCCTACAAGTGAGATAAAACGTTTTAATATAGTGTACTGGCGCACCTTTTTTCTTTGTTTCCTTTTCAAGTGTATTTTCTACAATTACTTGCAGATAAATTACACTCAACCCGGTCAAATCCAGTGCTTTTAACAGTTTCCACCCTGCTTTCAGCGAGGACATCGGCTGCTATAGCCTGAATCCCACCACCCCCTCCTCTCTGGGTGACACCTCCACGTCCAGGAGTTCGGAGGACTCCTCCACCACTCAGAGGAAGAGAGGTCGGAGAGGAGGAGGGGAGGACTCTCTGAGCTCGCTGCCCTACGAGGTGTTGTGCCACATGGCCAGTTTCCTGGACAGTCTGTCTCTGTCCCAGCTGGCTCTGGTGTCCCAGCTGATGAGGCAGGTGAGCTCCTCTCTGCTGCAGCAGAGAGGCATGGTCACCCTCCGCTGGGAGAAGAAGACATACTCACATGGAGGAGCCAAGTGGAGGGTGACGGAGACGGTGAGTAATTACATACATATACATGCGTGGCTTTTTATCACCAAGATCTAGGTAGTTAAAAGTATGTCATGTGCATTAAACAGAAAGTCGTCTTTGTTATTTATAAGAAGGTCAAAATGAAGGTGAGTGTAAAGATAAAATGAGAGCTAATTATTGCATGTGCATATTCATAAAACAGTTCCGCCTTATCTCACATTTAGTATTTGATTATATTCCCTTCAAGCTTATTTCTTTAGGAGAATATTAAATGTAAACAAATAAAGATTAAACCACCTGGAGTCCAAATGACTAATTCAACACGTTTATCATCTTTACCTCATTTGGTGTTTGGCTGCTAGACAGTCAAAGGACACCGCTTAAGGTATACAAATCAAGCTACAAATAATAAATGGGTTTTTACATCATTTAGTAATGAGTTACATCATTGGCCAAATCTACATCTGTATCTGTCTCCCTTACCCGTCTCTCCTCTGTGACTTCAGGTCTGGCAGTTCAGCACTTTGTTCAGTCCTGTCGACTCCTGGTGCTTCCAAAACGTGCCGCCCATGTCCGAGCACCTGAAGGTTTGCCCCTGCTATGAGAGAGAGTCACGGACAGAGAAGATCCACCTGCCGCGCGTCAAAGAAGAAGTCCAAACCAAGACAGGCTGCAAAGGTCCCTCTCTGGTTAGCTTACTCCAAAAGACGATGATGATGTAGTGCCATTTTAATGTATTTGTATAAAACAGGGCCATTCCTTTCTGTTAATTTCTCTCCCGCCTATGCACCATATTGCTGCTTTTCACTTTCATTAAAAATGAAGTTTGAAAATGCCAATAAAAATAAGAAAATAATTATTAACATTTTTGTGATTCAATTACTTTATAGAAAATAAGGCACATGTAACATTTAAAATGTCTTTGTAGACGTTAAATGTAATGTTTTGGAATGACACAACATGAGTAAATACAAAAATACAAAAATCAAGCAATATTACTAACTAAAGTCAAGAGACAATTAAATAGAAAATAAATATCCTTAGTTAACCAAATGTAAACAAAAAAAAGAATGTAAATACAATTTAAGTTATTCAAGTTATTTAGTGGTTTATTGAATCCACACTCAACATGGTAGAAAAACAGCACATGAAATGCTGAAGAAAATTAGATGAAAAAGTCAACATTTTAGGCATAATTGTTTTTGAGTCTACATTAGAGCTTAAAGGGGACCTATCATGCTATATTTGAATAATATAGTATAGGACCATACCTATATAAGGCATATTTATACTTTTTTTTTTCAAAATACCAAACAGATCATGCATTTTAGCCATGCCTCATTTTGCTCAATTTGACATTTTTTAGCTCTGTTTTTGCAAGGGCAGATTCTGTGAGAACAGCACCATCTAGAGGCCTGGCATATGTACTACAGCGTCTCCAGCACTTTCGAACGGCAATGGCCGTGGCTGTCTCCTCCTGATTGGTGGAGTTGGCCCAATAGCCGTAGCGCCACTGTCCTGACGTCAGGACAGTGTTCAAATCTGGATCAGTTTTTATCAGATCCGTTGCAGCCCCTTTTTTAGAGATTTGGGTATGGAGGAAAATAGAGAGGGTTGTGTTTTCTGACACTTGGTGAGTTCCCTGGAACACCGGGGACACATATTCATGTATAAAAGACGTACAAAAGTGCATTTTGCATGATAGGTCCCCTTTAAAGCAGCTCTTGTGTGATTATTTTGTAAGTCTAATTCCACAAAAGACGTGATATGCTATGCTTCACTTTTTACTATAATGATGAACATTATAAGTAAGAACATAATAAGTCTGTGGTCAGGCCCGTCATGAGGTAGAAACCTGGGCTAGTGGAGTCATTTTGGATCAGAGAACTGTCTCCCTCTAAAGGTCCCCGCTGGTGTTGTGTGTGTTGCTGATGAAGTCGGCCCTGATCAGTCTGTACAGCAGCACCACGTTCATGATGGAGATGAGGCTCAGGCCCGTTGCCCCCATCGTCAGGACGAAGCGAGGCATGTGTTCACTGTGAGCTACCAGCCAGCGGGTCATCCAGCCCACCGTGCAGACACGAAACACAAACAACCTGCAGGGAGACAAAGAAGCTGTGAAGACCTTTTTAACAAATGCTTTTAATAAACGACATTACTCGTGAAATGTGTGCTCTTTAGAGGTGCTGAAAGGCAGCTCCTGATACGTTACGTTGGACAGAGCCTGGCTGTAGCATCCTTAGATTTGAGTTTTTTTGTGTATTTAGTTTTTATGAAAATGTGATTTAATATATTATTTTTAATAGTAGATTTTAGACACGCAAACCAGAAGCAAATGTCTGCTTTTTGGATGCAAAAAGGAAACATGTCACAGAACAGGCAAATACAAATATGAACCTGAAAGTTAGCATAATATGTCCTCTTTACATGTTATTGATATAAAAGAGCAGCTGCAATAGGATATTAATTGAGTACATTTAGCATATGACAGGCCATTCCTTTTCTAATGAAAATTACAAACACACGCTAATCTGATTCTCATGTGAGCAGATTACATATTTAAATGTGTGGGTTGAAATTTGAAAGGATTTTGAAGGAACTTTCAATTATTCACATATGAACAATGTCTAATCCACAAAGATGTTTCATTTCTACTTGTGTGAAACCAGCAGAGGAGATGCAGCACTTACGTTAACAGGGTGAGCCAGCTGGTGACGCTGTAGGTCACAGACGGGCGAGGGGTGGTGGTGTCCGTCCTGTTCCTCCGTCCTGACAGGAGGAGGACCTGTCGGATGTGAAGGAAGACCGAGTTGATCTCAATCAGCAACGACACCACAGAGTAACCCACGTAGAGGCGGGACGTCAGGGCCAAACCGAAACAGGACAGCACCTGAGAGGAGAGTTTTAAACAAAGACACACATTAAGAGACATGCAGCAAAACTTTAATTTTTTATTTAAGTAAGAGAAATAAAGGTTTCTTAAGTTCAGTTTTAGTGACCCATAGTTCTGCAGAGTTTGTTCTTAGTTTAACAGTGTATTGAAATATATTTAAATGGTTTATATGATGTAATAATGTTGAAATGAAAGTAAATCGCTTATTAATTCATCATTATAATAATAATTTAGAAGGACAGGTTACAGGTTGCCAAGTTACACAAATTACACTTGGCTGGCTTCATATTCCATCTCTATAATTCAGCAGAAAGTCCTCTGACGTTGAACATTTTTGTTGTGTAGCCAAGACTTTTTAGATTTGATTTTTGGCAACCATAAAGTCCTATGACTTTCCAGAAACCCCCCCACTCAACACAAGCAGACATTAAACTGTAAATAATTAGAGGTGATCAGGATGTAGAGATAAATGCTTTTACTACCTCTCCTCATAAATATAGCTAATTAAAAGAGCTGCACTGCAAAGGAAGACACATCAGCAAACACACACACCGCTCTTATGTTGAACAATGTTGTGACACTGAAGTCACACACACAATAAAGCAGCGAGCGGTTTTCCTGCTGCAGGTGAATGAGGTTGTGACCTCTGCCGCCTCGGAGAGTAAACTGTCACACAGATCAAGGCTGAACACCTGCAGCTTCAAACAGAGGTGAAGGATGAGTGTGCGATTTCATTCACTGACCTCAGCGTTATCACAACACAGATATGAAAGGGCTGGAGACATTCAGAAGAAGTCCTCACAGAGACTTCGGAAGACAAACTTAGTACTTTACCTAAGTAAACCACAATGTAAAGTGACTCCATTACTGTACATGTAAAGTACTCCAAGTTTAACTAAATAGATAAATAAATAATCATATAAAAAAAGAATTAATGAATTACTTTTACACTTCATAAACAGCAAAATTATGTCCAATGCAAGTCAAGTACGACAAAACACACAAGTTTCTTTGGGAAAACCTAAAACTGATCACACCGGGAACTTTGTATTAATAGTTAACGCCGAATGTAGTATCTCCAAATTACCTGAATTATGCAATCGAACTGAAATTGTTGGTTTATATTCAGGTTTTGAGTAATTCTTGCAGCATTTTTGTATTTGGTAGTGTTTTCTGTATTAGCAGCATGTTTCTGTAGGAGTGTGCATTGGGGAATCTTTGCTTTCCTATTTTCTTTGGGATTTTTTCATTTGCAATATGAACTCTCTGCGACAAATACAAAAAAAAACACACACACGAGGTGTAAAGTGTATTACCGTTGAGTGGTGGAGGAGCACCTCCCAGGACTGTTTACATGGCCGATTCAAGGCCACGTCCAAGAAGTCATGGATAAAATAACCTAAGAGAGGAGGAAGCAAAAGCATCATTTTTATATTCATTCACAAAACACCATGAAATGTCAAAAACATTCACTGTTTAGTTTGAGCATTGTTCTAACTGTATTAATACATCTTACAGAAATTAGGTTTAGGTGGGTGAAATTGTTCAAATATTTATAATTTCCACACTTATATTTTGTTATATAAAGCCTATTTATACTTTGTTTATTCAGAAAGTCATATTCATTTAGAGTTCTCATTTGTATTTGAGACGTGTGTACAGTGAATCTAAAAAAATAATGACAATGATAAAGAATATTGTAATAAAACAGCAATAATTAAATATACTTAGGCAACATACAGACAACAGCATGACACATTGAAAATACATTGTGGATTTAATTTCCTGCTTAATTCTCATTGGGTGAAATTACTTATTGTCTTCTAAAGTGTGAATGTTCAAGGTTCAAGGTTCAAGGTTCTTTATTGTCAATCTGACATAGCTACAGAGTAATTATGCAGTTGAAAATCTTATGTCACAGGCTTCTCCAACAATGCAACATAATAACATAACATAATAACAATAAGAGCATGAGCAATACAAAAATAATAATAGTTATAAAAATGAAATAAAGTTATGATGTGGAATAGTGCAGTATGAGTCTATATACAAGTTATTGGAATGATATATATATATTAGGTATTAGATACATACTACTGAGTAGTATGTAGATATTTGTGTGTTTTGTCACCTGTAGACACAGCTACAAGACTGTGAGAGAGCAAGGAGTGACGGGAGATCAGGTCCTCCAACAACTCAGGTTGAAGGTAGAAGCTGCATAGTGAGAGAGAGAAAACACATGAAATACAAAATATTTATAGCTCCAACACTTATAACTGTACGCACCATAAAACAGCCCATGCTCCACTCAGCGAGCTGTGAGCTAGAGAGGTGCAGATGTTCCTCCACCTCCACGACTTGTTCAGCACCTGCTCCGGTGTTGTCAGGAATCTTAGGATCGTGTTCAGCAGTTTGAAAGAACAAACAGATCCTCCAACTACCAGAAGTGTTGACTTTAAATCCATAATCGAGAATCTGGAGTCTATAGTTCACTTTAAATCCCAGGTCCTCATGTGTTCAGGACATAATTCAGCTGCAACACACTTTGGAGAGGGAGAGAAACACGCTGCTGAAGTCTTTCACACAAACACACACTGCCCTTTAACACCCATTCCTGCCCTCACTTGAAGTGACAATCTGATCACTGACAGCCGGTAAAGGTCGCGGTCACACGACGACATGACATCAAGGCACAATTCGCTCCCTGGGCCAACACATACAAAACCTACCAACTATTTATTTGCTCCACTAACCTAAAACAAACATCCCCCATAGATATCTCAAAACGACTAAAATAAGAAACAGGTCTACATGCGTAAAAGGCCATTTCTGCAACCCGAAGCAACCATGCCATCTAATTTGACAGTTATCTAATAGACCATCAATTATCATATCAAACCATTAAACAAAGACACTGCAATAACTGTAAAAGCTATACATAACTTACTCATTAATGCATCTGGTGCACAGTCACCTGGGAGATACATATCACATGCAGATCTTCAGACTGCAGCAAACAAAGGGAAAGACTGAGCAGGACCTGATCAAGGACTCTTACCAGCTCAAATAGGGTTTGAGAAGGGGGATTTTCTACAAATACTAATTTAAACTAGAATTACAGCCTCACTGTTAAATGCCAGTGATTCACAATCAATAACATATTATTTAGAAGTGTCTCTACTTAAAACCAAATACGATCATCCAGTTAAAATAACTCCCACTTGTCTATGTATTTAAATGTTACTCAATTGCAGTTAAGAAAATGAACTAAGGGACCTGTGACATAAAGCGTAACTTAAGTACTGTTTGCCTTCTTCTTATTTTGGGATTTTATTTTTTATTTTTGAGTATTACCTGTTAATTTATTCGTCAGAGGCAAATATTGTACTTTGTATTCTATTACTTGTATTTATTATTGTCAATTAATAATAATAAATGGAGCATTTTTCCAAAATGGGTCAATTGGCAAAATGTGTGCTATTACTTTTGGTACTTTATATTTTGATGATATTAATTTGAAATGCATTACTTTTAACTTTAGAACATGTAATGAATATTTTCTGGTACTAAAGTTAGAAATTATATTTGTTTCCACCATTTCACAGTAACGCACAAAAGTAAATTATTTTAAAATCTTGAGCTTTGCAGTGATGAATCTTGAAACTTGAAACGATGTGTGAATGACAGTCGGCTACCTCTGGTTTTGTAAGTTATGCTTTGTTGCCGGTCCATTCAGTGTCGGCTGCCTCGTCAGCTTTTCTGTTTGCTGCCGCTGTGAAACACAAAGCACCAGCGACGCCTTTCTCTGCAACAACAACAGGGCTGAACATGACCACTGACATCCCACCAACTGTTCATTCACCGGAGTCCCAAAAGTTACTTTTTGCTTGATTTTTTCTCGTCTTAGGCTATCAAACCGCCCAGAAACGTCCACTTTTTACACTTTGTCTCCCAGGATCAAGGGATGAGTTTTGGGGATGGACCGGTTGCCGTGGAAACGGACTTCTACTATCCCATCATTGAGCTGATGTGCAGGAAACTAATTGGACTGTTGCAAAAGAAAAACCATCTCTGAACAGAGCATCTGACTCACTGTGAATTTTTCTGGAGGTTTGTGTTTCTTCGTGGAGTTAACGCTGAATCAGAGATATGTCTGGGAACAAAAAATGTGAGTAAACTGTCTCAATATTTATTTATTTCAATAACAGTCAGGTGTTTTTATCCATCTTTCACTTCATTTAACAGCAGTCTAATCACTGGGTGTCTGAAATGAAAGTAATGATCTTTATCAAGGGAAAATTACATTTAAAACTGTAGTCGGTTATAACTTCTTTGAAATGTGTGTGCATGTGTGTGTCTATTCATGCATGTGTGTGTTAGCAGCCCGTGAAGAGCTTCCGGACTCTGATCCAGAGGACTCATCAGAGGAGCTGACGGAGGTGGTGTGTCTAGAGTCAGACCTGAAGGATGGACAGTAAGGAGGAGAAAACCGTTTTTTATAATATATATATATATATATTTATTTCCTCTGAAAGACATATATATATATATATATATATATATATATATATATATATATATATATATATATATATATATATATATATATATGTCTTTCAGAGGAAATAAAATGTATCACACCTTTAACTTAAGCACAAGTGCAAATACCACAGTGTAAAAGCATTCCTGCATTCAAATTCATTAGAAAGACGTTTCAGCAGGAAAATGTCCCCTAAGTAAGTGTGTGTGTGTGTGTGTGTGTGTGTGTGTGTGTGTGTGTGTGTGTGTGTGTGTGTGTGTGTGTGTGTGTGTGTTACCTCAGGATGATGGAGGTGGAAGTGGGAAACCACAGCGTGCTGTTGACACGCAGTGAAGGCAGATACAGTGCCATTGGTCACCAGTGTACACACTATGGAGCTCCACTCAGCAAAGGTAAAGAGGCACATCCACATAGATTTAGTATTTCACTATTGTCCCTTGATTCACACATGACTCTTTGAGGATGGGATGCTTTCATCTGTGGAAGCTGTATGTTGCCATTTAGACTGACACAACAGTTCTATGTAAAGCCATAGTGAACATTTTAAAATACAGCCTTTTCACACATTGTTGTATATTTATTCTTCTTAAATAATTGCTTTCTTTCCTAACACTGTCATTGTGCGGTCAGGATTTATTTCAGGCAACACAGTTCGCTGCCCGTGGCATGGAGCCTGTTTTAACATCCATACAGGGGACCTGGAGGAATACCCCGGCATGGACTGTTTACCGTGCCACAAGGTACAAACCACACAGACACATAGCATCTATTAGGGGACTGCTGTCATTTTAATGTAAATAAACATGTATTTTTTTCCTCTTTTTAAGGTCAAAATTCAAAACAAAAAAGTGTATGTGTCTATTAACAAAAAGGTAAGTAGATTTACTTTTCTTTTTCAGTTGATGTCATAGTGGTCCTCACAATTGCAACTTGACTTTTTTCAATATGGAAAGGAGGGAGCACATCATGATAAGGTGTTGTGATGGCTAATAATTGTGTGTTATCCTGAATTACTTTTCCATGTAACAATGGTGCAAATTAAAAACATTTTAAACCATCAGCTGCTATACAAACTCCCCTCTCAAACCAGAACAAGAGGAATTAATATAGGTGGGTTAGAAACTATCTAACAGGGGGAAAGAAAACTCTTGTAATGATTCTGCGACCAAAAAAAGCTATTTAAATATTTTTCCTTCTTTATTTTTCCAGTTGATTTTGCAAAATAACCCACTCTAAACTCAAGTTAAGCTAGTTGTACATATGCTGGGAATAAAACAAGTTCAACACACCTCAATTAGGCATAGTTAGTTGCTAACTAAAAAACATGGGCTTAGAGTCTGAAACCCACTGTAGCCAACATTTTCAAAATGATGTCGAATTACAATGTTACCTTCGTAAAAACAAAAACAAGTAGTATTCAAAGATGCGATGTCTTGTGAGTTTACAATAACATGTTGCTTGAAATTCAGAGCTTTCCAAAGCACCCTAAATGCACCATGATTTCAGGGAACGCGACAAACAAGGACAACAAGACGTCAAACTTCACCTTTTACAGTCACACTGACAAAAATCTAGTATTTCACCAAAACAAACCTTAAAAAAGCAGAGTTTGGCTACTTACGGTTCTACAGTCACATTGGATGAGGGCCAGGCTGCAGTCGAATTGTCAGTTTAACTTTAGGAACCTTCCTCACGGAGTGAAATGACCCGGAAGCACCTCAGTGGTAGCCATGATAAGAGCCGTTAAAATTCTCTAGATCAGGGGTGTCAAACTCAAGACCCGGGGGCCAAATCCGGACCGCGACTTCATTGTATGTGGCGCGCAAGAGCTTGCAAAGAATATAATATACAATACAATTCAAGATTCAAGGCTTTTATTGTCATATGTACATAGCTACAGTGTAGTTATGACAATGAACATCTTAGGCCACAGGCTCCTCAAACAGTGCAACACAATAAAACAGATAATAGTGCAAGTAAATAAAATATAATATAATATAATAGAAATAGTGCAGAATAGTCCATGTAAAAGTAATTGGAATATTGATATATATAAGTTGCAAACAGATGAATGTGATGGATGTTCTTTCAAAAGTTTTGATGTAATTGTTGATTGAATTTGCTTTCAATTATGTGCCCTAGACTTCTACTTTCAGACGTAGTTATTTATGAAGTTATTACCAGAACTGATAATAATCCAATGCAGAGCAAATAATATAATATAATACATTATTTAATATATATTATATATTCATATATGTATATTTATATAGTCTTAAAGTTACAACCGGCCCTTTGAGTGCAACCATAATGCTAATGTGGCCCGCGATGAAATTGAGTTTGACACCCCTGCTCTAGATGATAGGAAAGGAGGTTTGAAACTTCCTTTATAACCTCCTTTAGCTTAGGAAACACTGGACCTTCCTTTATGAAAGGAAAGGAGAAAATACTGCCCCACAATGCTTTGCGGGGGCAGCATTTGCCATCACACAACATTCGGCTGTTCACGGAAACAACCGATTATGACCGATAAATTAGTATCATGAAAGTTACGGTACTTATTAAGCATTTTAAAACTGATGTGGTAAGTTGCCAAAGTGCTTTGTTTTGAACGTTCATCACTATAATAATCAAAAGGAGAAATATGAACGTTACTTTTTTACTGAAATGATCAAATAAAGTCAACATTTCACAGTCTTTACTGAGCTGTGTGGGGTTTCTTAAACTTTTAAAATAAGTTGTAATGGTGATATACACAGTCATAGATGTTAAAGGTGGGGTAGGTAATTTTGGAGAAACCAGCTCGAGTGCACTAGAATTTGAAAATACACAGCCGGAACAAATCTGCCACTTCCTTACAGAGCCCCTCCTCCAACACACACGAACGTGCACATGACCAATGAGGGCACGAGATAAGTTTGTGCACAGATGGAAGGCTGACAGGCAGGTAGGCCATCCAGTTATTTTAGCCGGGCCGGCTAAAATGATTGGTCGTGCTTTTTACAGTACTACGGCTTCCACAGATGACATTTTTTTATGGATTTTTTGTCAAAGCACTTAAGATATTCATTGCTATCGGGATGTTAAGAGCATTCCATGGAATATAACAAAAAGTGTATCTCGAGCCGGTTTCTCAAACTTACGTCCTTTTTTATTTCAATTACATCCTCGTTCATGAAGAATTTATGTTTCTCTGTTGTCCACGTTCATAAAGCATAAAGCAACAGCATGAGGGCACGGTGCAAAGTATCTTGATGCTTTTACAGTAGTCCGCTGTTCTTATTAAACATCCATGTAGTCCGCTGTATAGAAAACTGTAGTTTCCCCACAGAAGACGCACATTAATGAAGTCCGCTGGCACATTAATGTACATCGATAGTGTAAGTGCAGTCGGACTCTCAAAGCACCGCAGTCTCTTCTCCTAAATCCTTTTGAATTCTCCTGTCCACTATTCCTTAACCCTGTGACGTTTCACACAGAGGTTAAGGAATAGTGGATAGGAATAGACGATAGGAGCTGATTTTTGGACTATTAGACTGCAACCCAAGTTGTTTCCCCCAAAAGTGGGCGGGGCCGTAATTTTCGCCCGGAAGTGACGTAGATGTTCGCCTACTGCTATATTTAACCATATATCGAGCCCGATCATCGATTTCCAATGATTTCATGTAAATGTTTGCCTGTCTGGCCATTGTAATCGGGCTCTTTGAAGATCCAAAAATCCACGGTTTTCTTAAATTTCTGATCGGATTGGCAAAAACTTCAGAATTTGTATTGACCGCCATTCAAATGACAGCTTTGTTTTCCCCCAAAAGTGGGCGGAGCTGTCATTTTTGCTCGGAAGTGACGCATGTGTTACTCTCATGTATAATCTTTTTTTTTTAAATCCTCTGGAGCAGAGAGAGCAGCTGTGGATTATTGTTATTGATTAATGCATCAGTGTTTCTTAGGGTCAAAAACACTAAACTCACAACTTAAAATGAAAGCGTTTAGTTTATTTAATAAAAGAGCACATGTTCAATGTGAAAGTGACCGTAGATAGATTACTTCAGTTGCAATTTGGTGCTATATATATATATATCTTTTTTTTTTTAAACACCTTGAATTTCTGGGGGGGCGCGGGGCTCCGTTGGCGGGGCGCCAAGACAATGGTAGGGGAAACACTGGGCTGTATGAAAGCATTAAATCATTTTATTTTGCTCACACACATTTCTAGATATCTCATTAAGAACTGGGCCTTGCATTATCTTCTTGTTTCGTATGAAGCTCTACAATCATATATTAAAAATGAAAATAATGATAAATATTCATTGTGTTTATTAGGCTAACTTTTCAATGTTTAGGGAGGTTAAGGGTTATTTGTAACATGGCTATTTGGAAAGTGTGTTAAAGTTAAACTGCCAGAAAATAGTCAACATGTAATCAGCAAACATGGCATGAACAATCGTCTGAGTTTAACTTTAGGAATCGTTTTATAAATGGTGTACCTTTTTCTTTGAATTGTCTGATGTAGTAAAGAATAGAAGAAGACATTTAGTCTAAAAGTCACCCTTTTTATTTGCAATGATAATAATATTGTCATTGATGACTTTAAGTTGTGTTTTCTACATGTTTCAGACCCTCAGGCAAGAAAAAAGAGTAAAGAGTATGGGGGCTTTAGTACCAGGAGTTAATCAGACTGTGCTGCTGCTGGGAGGAGGTGAGTGTGGACGGCTCCAATTGATTATACAGCTCTGGAAAATAATTAATACACTACTGCCAAATGATCAGTTTATCTGGTTTTACTAATTTGTTTGGTATGTCTTTGAGTAAGATGTACTTTTTTGACAATCATTTTGTCATTTAGAGAATTAATTGAAATAATAAAATGAAAACTGGTGAAAAAAACCGTTTTCTAATAAACCGAAAAATGCGTACAAAACAATACTGATGTTTTAACCCATTAAGAGTTCAGAGGGTGTCATTAGTATTGTTGTTTTAAAAATGAATACAAACTTTTATTTTTAAAATATTCAAACTAAACTCTAAAACACTTTATAATTTTTTTTGACCTGTTTTTATTTTCTGCCCAATAAAAAATGTGGTATTTGGAATGTTGTGAGTAGTTAACAGAATAAAACAAACGGATCTCAGTGTGTGATGGTGTTTTAACTGTAAGAGCAGGAGCTGCGTCACTGATCTGCGCTGAGACTCTGCGGCAGGAACACTTTGGAGGCAGAATCATCATGGTCACCAGAGACGAACTTTTACCTTACGACAAAACACGACTCAGCAAGGTGATGCAGAGTGAATGACACGATACAAACACCAACATTGAAGTTATTAATTGGTGTGTATTAACTACCATCTTGTTACAGGTAATGAATGTACAGAGCGACAGTATTCTGCTGAGGAGGATGGAGTTCTACCATCAGTACGACATTGAGTTGTGGCTCCGGAAAGAAGTGAGTTCACTTTCTATGTCCTGTCTATCTAAATATAAATTTGGTTCAGTTGATTGTTAAATCGACCTGATACAGTCTACCCTCAGTACTGGTGGTATTTTTGATCTGTACATACATTACAGGCAGTGTCACTGGACACAGACAAGAAGACAGTCACATTTGATGATGGTTTAGTCCAGAGCTATGACCAGCTCCTCATCTCAACAGGCTGCAGGTACACACGCACACACGCACGCACGCACGCACGCACACACACACACACACACACACACACACACACACACACACACACACAACGCAACAATCTTAAATATAAAATATTTAAATCACTTGTTGATGACCAACAGCGGTTTGCTACCTGTATACAGTGTATGAAGTGGTCATTGCTGCAGCACTTCTACCCTGCACTGTGCTGCTTATAATCAGATGTATGGCCTTTTCCTTTAGAGCGAAGGCTCTGGATGTGCCTGGCACGAAGTTGGACAACATCAAGATGTTAGAGACACCAGAGGACGCTCGGCAAATCCACGCAGCCTGTCTGGGTCACAACGTCGCCCTTGTGGGAACTTCTTTTGTCGGTACTGTGTTGGAAGTGTGACAAATATGTTTTTACATATTATTACAACAACAAATACATTATTTGTGTTTTTTGGGGGGTTTTCATTTCAATATTCTCACATTTTTCCAGGTATGGAAGTTGCATCTTATTTAATAAACAAAGCCTCCAGTATCACAGTGATCGGCAGCAGTGAGTTGCCGTACCAGAACACACTGGGACGGGAAGTTGGCAAAGTCACCATGACGGTAAGAATAACAAAGAGGAAGAGATATTGTATCCTCACATTACATCTATTTTAAGTTACTTTAATTGTAACTCTTGTTGTTCTTGCAGATGCTGTCAGAGAAAAATGTGAAGTTTTACATGAATGATAATGTGACGGAGATCAAAGGTGTGGATGGCAAGGTAAAGTTGAATAGCACACATTTATTTTATCACTCCAACATCAGGACAATAAGAAACATCAAGTTTATTATGAAAATATAAACATATTTCTCTCCTCTTTTTCATTGTCCTTTCCTCAAGGTGAAGGAGGTTGTGCTTAAAAGTGGAAAAGTTATTCCAGTAGATGTTTTGATTGTTTGTATTGGTAAGTGCAATGCAGACATTTATGTGATTTTACCTTTATAAACGTACCTTATAACGTCTTAAACATTCAGGACAGATGAGTGATATCTGTCTTTTCTTTTAAACATCTATCAAAAAGCAGCTTTCCTGATTCAAATAAAAATGTTATGTTATGTATTTATAGCACACAAACAGCAGTGATATATTTAATTTGTCAGAGCAATAAACTGCTCAACAACACTAACAGTATTCCTAAAAAAACCTTTTTCTTTCTTCTTTCACAAGGCATCAAAGCAAACTCTGAGTTTCTGCGGAGCAGCAAAATACAGCTGGACCCAAAAAACTTTGTAACAGTCGACAAGGTCAGCTGATAACCTCATTGTCACATGATTATCTCAATCTGTTTCCAAACACATAACCTATTATTACCTGTTATTTTTTCATAACTCTTGTATTTTGTTGAGAGAGATTTACTTTCTCACTGTTAGAGGTAACTATGAGTTTTTGGGGCCAGGCTAAAGGGATGAGCCGAAGATTTTTATTTAATTTTGCCTTTTAAGTATATGTTTAAAATGTCGAGAATAAAGTTGAATGTTTAGTATTAGTGCCAGGCATTGGACAAAATAACTCAGAAAAGTAAGATTTATTGTTTGTTTACATTATTTACAATAGTCAAACTACAAGCTCATATACTGGACTGGACTGTTACTCTAATCCTTGACATTTCTGCTTCATTATCATCCTTCAAAATAAAAAAATCTTCTTCTTATATAAAAAGTTTTTCCTCATCTAATTTGTTTCCTTTATGTCTGGCCTTAACGGTCTTACGGTCGCAGGATCTCAAACATAACAGAAGTGTTATTTAAAATGTATTTCCTCACATAAATCAGTATATTGTGCACCATTAACTATCTCTGTCTGCATCTCCCTCCTGCAGCACATGCGCACCAACATCCCCAGTGTGTACTGTGGAGGCGACCTGGCCACCTTCCCTCTGGCGATGGCCAAAAACCGCATGGTCAACATCGGACACTGGCAGATGGCACAGGCACACGGTAATATGGAAACAATGTAAATGTTGATGCCAAGTCGTAGAAGACTGACTTTAACTGTAGAGTAGATCTAACCTACAGCCAGACATAGATAGTATCTTGTCTAGTTTTAATTCCAGGTAAGGCGAGACAATACTGGCATTAGGATTGTTTTTTAAATTGGAGTTTGAGCTTTTGCTTTTCATAACACCTTTTGATATGTTTGGGAAAAAAATATCCAAAACACACATCAAAGTGTTTTTTTAAAATAATTTTTCTATGTGCATTGGAAGATTTCTCATCAATTCACAGAAAGTTCGAATAAGATAATACCTTATCTTCCAACCTAAACAAACAATTTCAGATAACTTGTAATACAAAAAAGTATTGTATTAATATATGTGACCAACTGGGGAAGTTAATAATGATATCAAGCCTATTCAGCTGCAGTGTCCCTCATTAATGCCAAAAATACTTGTTGTGCAGGGAGGATAGCAGCTTTGAACATGCTGGATAAACAGACTGAACTCAACTCAGTTCCTTTTTACTGGACCGTCCTACTGGGTAAAACCATCCGATATGCAGGTGGGCAAGTATTATCATGTATAGACATTTTTGTTTGTTTTATATTTACTTCTTACTCACTAACTTGACTTTAAAATAAACCGTGACAAATGCTTTATAAGTTGCTTTGGATAAAGAGTTGCATTCAATGAATCCAACCGTGATACATTTCTGATTGATCTGCTTAACCATGTTAAATGTCACTCCTTTTTTTCTGGTTGTGTGCAGGCTATGGGGAGGGATACACTGACATTGTAATAAAAGGAAGGTTTGAGGACAAGAAGTTCCTGGGATTGTACATGAAGTAAGTTAAGCTGCTGATGTTTACAAAAAACATCTGTAACTGGAAACATAGAACTCCTTTAATTAATTAATGTTCAAATATATGTTTAATGAAGAAACAAAATGTAACCTGTAGGAATGATGAGGTCCTAGCAGCAGTGAGCCTAAACTACGACCCCGCGGTGTCTGCAGTAGCCGAGAGGTTCGCAGCAGGAAAAGTCATCACGAGGGAAGAGGCTGAGTAAGTACAATGTTTCTTATTTTGTCCATCTTTGAATAATACCATCCATATTATAATGTTCAAGGACCTCAAATTGTTTCCACTGCCCCCAAATGGCAAAAAAAAGAATATCCTAAATCGGCGTAATGTGTTTGCTTGTGTGTATCGCTCTTTAAAAAGCCTATTTTTATTGCTTCTTTTATACCGTCATTGATTGTGCATCAACAACTGCTTTAGTAGCAATAGACCTTTCCAGCAATCTGTTAGTTAAAAACAAGCCTCACTGAGTCTGTTGCAGGCCACATTTTGGCCTTTGTTGTAGCTCAAAACTGACATCCATAGCAGAGTTTGTCCTCATTTTAAACCAGTGCACCTGCAAATTAATTCCATACATTATATGTTATGTTCACCTAAAACAGTTAGGCACAACATGATCAAAGAAAAATGTTTTTGTTGTTTTAGCAGCCATTTTGATTCTTAATTTTCCTGCTGTAACGATGCAAATTTCCCCTCTGTGGGACTAATAAAGGTATTCTGATTCTGATTCTGAATTGAGCCACGAGAGTTTCTTGAATAAGATTCTTTGTTTGAATGGGGACAGGGTGACACTTATTTTTAAGCATAAAATCAGATACTTAGCTTCGGGACACAACTTCAACCATGAAGGAGATGAAAAATTATGTCTGTACGTAGTCATGCTTTATATAGAATTCAAATCTCTCTTCTCTTACTTCTGTCAAACATTTTACCTTCTCGTCCTCACCTAAGTGGAACATACCACCTGCCCAGGTAAATACAGGGGGAGGTCAATTAAGCAAGCATCCAAATCTGACTAAATAGTGAACATACAAATAATAAAATATCTATAAATTCCTCCTGACATCTCAACCTATAACCAACAAAATATAAGAGAATGTTATTGACTGCAGAACTATCTCACCCACTTTCCTACATATTAACAGTGCCCTGCTGCTGCCTGCAGAGAAGACAGAATTAGGCACAACTTGTTTTCACTTTCCTTGCTTGAGCAGCTGATCCATCCCAACCAATTGGCAGAATAGCAACAAACAAATCAAATCAACCCAAAAACCAACCAACAAGCCTGACTTTGTTTTATGTGCCTTAATTGATATCTCAAATGAGTGGCGGTATCAGACTGAAATGACAAGTAAGCAGATACAAAACACTGTAAACAGGAACAGGGTAGTAAAAAGTAAGAGAGACAATCTTTTGTTCCTTTCTCAGATCAGATGACCTGAGCTGGCTGCAGGTGCCTCGATCCACACGGTCCGCCCCTCTCAACACGTCATCTTTAGAATGTTGATATGCAGTCAGAACGTCATTCATCTGTCTCTTCGTCACCGCCACTCTCCCAAAGGACAGAGTAAGAAGAGCTGGATTCAAGTGTTTGTACCAGAAGAGAAATACAATCCAACAACCCACAGTGAACTGTATATTTACAGTGTTAAAGTATTTTATTTAAACTGTATATGTCAGGTGAGGGGGACTCCACCATAAAAACAACAGATACCTCAGATTGATGCAGCTTTTAGGACTTATTTTATAATCTTAATTTTTTTTTTTCATTTTGTATTATTATTTCTTTAGTTTTTATTTTATTTCATGGTCTTCGAGGGGATTTCAGTGACAGTCCTGAGACATCATATTCAAGATGCCTTACTAAGTGTTCACTTATCATATAAATCGATAAAATGTATTATCGATAAAAGGCCTTTTACTTGGCTGCTGGATAAACACAAGTGGCCTTAACAGAGCAGTGTACGTGGTGCGGTCAGTGAGTCTGAGGGGGGGATTATGAGAACAGAGGGTGAGTGCCCGTCTCTTTGAAGCAGAGATGCTGAAATAAGCAACGGTAACAAAACACACCAACAGAGAACAAAAGGCCTTCGACAGACAAAACACAAATGCAGTGTGACAAAACCTTCACAAAAGAAATGCTGCGTTTTTCCCTCTTTCCCTCTCTGTCTCTCTGCTGGTTTATCACTGCCTTTACTTCAAACCTCCACATTTACTTTTACATTACCTTTCACTTCCTGTTTACAGCGTGCATCAGTTAACTGTCTACAGGGTTCAACCAACAGGTGTAGACAACAGGTCATATTGTGTACTTATGTTAAGATTTGAAACTTTAAGGTTTAAGGTAACCCTAACAGAATGCATTTACAGAGTTATACTGTATAAGTAACAATTATACTGTATGAGTAGCAACTCAAATGTTAATTCATTTACCAGCAAAAGATTTAAGCCTTATTTTGCATCCAAACACATTTTAAATAAGCAATGTAGCATATTAAGAATTCTTGAGGAAAGAAACATATCTGCTTTGTTCTCTTAAGTAAACGACCTCTTCCTGCTGAATACCAGGTTGCGCTCCAATAGTCCATTTAGCTTAGGAACCTTCCTAACGGAGTGAAATGACCCGGAAGTCCCTCAGTGGCAGCCATGATAAGAGCCGTTCGAATTCTCTAGATGATAGGAAAGGAGGTTTCAAAGTTCCTTTATAACCTCCTTTAGCTTAGGAACCACTGGACCTCCCTAACCGAAAGGAGAGGAGAAAATGCTGCCCCACAATGCCTTGCGGCCGCAGCATTTGCCGTCTCACAACAGTCGGCCGTTCACGGAAACAACCGATTATGACCGAGAAATGATATCATGAAAGTTACGGTGCTTATTAAGCATTTTAAAACGTGGTAACTTGCCAAAGTGCTTTGTTTTGAACGTTCATCAGTATTATAATCAAAAAGAGAAATATGAACGTTAGTTTTTACTGAAATGATCAAATAAAGTCAACATTTCACAGTCTTTACTGAGCTGTGTGGGGTTTGTTCAACTTTTAAAAGATGTTTGAATGGTGATATACACAGTGATAGATGTTAAGGACTAACGTTTATAATAAATACATTTGTATTTATTTTAAGATCTTTTCATACAATCATACGTATTGGGATCTTTTGTATTAATGTGGACCGGAGGGAGAGGGGGACCAGCATAAGTTTCACTTTCCTTTTTTATTTAAATTCCAACTTTGGTCATGAAGAATATGTTTCTCTGTTGTCCACGTTCATAAAGCATAAAACAACAGCATCAGAGCATGGTGCAGAGTCTCTAGATGAGTTTACAGTAGCCCCTTGTTCTTATTATACATCCATGTTGTAGTCCGCTGTATAGAAAACTGTAGTTTCCCCACAGCAGCAGACACACATTCATGACGTCCGCTGGCGCATCATAAACACGTCGGATAGTGAAAGTGCAGTCGGATTCTCTAAAGTACCGCAGTCTCTTCTCCTAAATCCTTTTGAATTCTCCTATCCACTATCCCTTAACCCCGTGACGTTTCACACAGAGGTCAAGGAATAGACGATAGGGATAGACGATAGGAGCTGATTTTTGGACTATTCGACCGCAACCCCAGTCTTTGTCATCAATGCAAAGTAAACCCTGACGCCTCAGTGAACATAACAGGAATGTACTTTTCATTTGAACTATTTTGTCTTGTGTTTAACTTTGTTTATGCATAAAAAGAAATCTCAGGCACAACAGTATTGTTTCTTCTTGCATCACTTATCAGCGTTGGAGCTTGTCATTTGCTCAGGGAAAACACGAATGTCCTGCCATTTTGCATCCAGCAGCGACCTTTTTTACTTTAAGATTTACTTTTGAGTTTTTATGTTATTTGAAGTATCCGCAGCATCCTTTGATTGCTTTTTAATTTTAAATAAGTGTTAAGAGAGAGTGGTTTATCCATGGCTGGATTAAACAGATTGAACATTAGATAATTAGATACCACAGTTTTTAGTAACACATATCTGACACATAGTTATAGAAGTAACAATTACATTTCACACCTCATCCTCTAGGGTGAATTACGCGAAAGAAAACTGCTAACCTGTATTAAAGTTCTTACATTGTAGGGGTGGAAAATGTCATGTGACCCCCATCCAATTAAACCTACCTCTCTACCTGTGGTAAACAGATGTGAGGGGCGCTCAGTGGTATTATCCTGATTGGGTTTCAGCCCTGAAAGTTCCACTTTTGGTCTTTTCAGGAAGTATTACATTATTTAGAAGCTAGAAGATAAATGGTGCAAATCCTCTATTAAGTTTTAAACAGGGCCTGTCCTCGTCCACGACAGTCGTGATACTGTTTGTTTTGTACCTGACAGAGAAAACATGTCAGTCAGGTGCATTATAGGGTATTACATTTGCAACATACTTAATTTATCTGTCTTAAACAGCACCTTCATTATTTTGCTCAATTTGCCTAAATCTGTTTTAAACTATCAAAAATAAAGCCTGAGATAAAAGGCATGAGGCTCTCACTTGCTTCTTTAATTCAGTCGGTGCTCAAATTAAGAGAATACTCCTGTCGACCAAGTTCATTCAAAGCCTGTTTTTCTCTGCTCTATTTAGGAAAAGTCTTTCTCAAGGCAGTATCTTTTATCAGAGCGTCTCTGTGTGTGATGTAACGCTGCCGCCTGTTGGCCCTGTACAGCTCCAGCCTCTTCTCCTCGTCCTGGGGGTCTTCCAGCTCGCCCTCCCACCTCAGGCTCTCCTTGGCCTGGGCGCTGAGTTCTCCACTGACACTGATCTTTTCTGCCGCTGTCAGCAGAGTCGGGGAGTCTTTAGGGTGTTTTTTGCTCTTCCTGTTGCTGCCAGGGAGCCGCTCTCCGTGCTTGTGGCTGGTTGTTTTAAGCATGGGCAGCTGGGCTCGTGGCTGACCCGGACTCTGTGGGGGGGGCTGGGACACAGACGAGGTCTCAGGGGGCAACGATGCAGCCTGAGGGGTCTCTGCAGGGAGGCAGAATAAACATGGAGGCTCATGCAGACTGCAGAACAAAGCTGAGGTTTTATATTACTAATGACTCCCTCTTGAGTTGAAGGGCTAATGGTTTACAGTAATGAGCTGTAACAGGCCAGCTACACTGGAGGCCTACTCTCTGTTGACCTATGCAACCCTGTAGGGAATCCTCTACCATCACCACATGATCTGTATACTTATTACATTGTGAACAATTATAGTGACCTTAGTTTGAATTGGCAAAGCCATGATGACATACAGTAATAAGGTCAGTTCAAATGATCCAACTTTAGGTTCAGTCCTAACTTTTGTGACTAAATGCATGCCGTGAGAAATATTTTAAAGCTTTTTATTTTGTGTATTATTAGGTTTTTCAATTGTCTGCTTCTAGATGATCTTCTTATAAAGATAATTAGATCAGTACTTTAATTTAAAATGCTCTTATACAGTATATCAGAGCCTCCAAAAGTCCAGGTGATACTTGATTTTCCCCGAGTGAGCCATGCTGTTTGGTATTTTAAACTTATTCAAAGATCATATTAATCATGAGTTGTCCATTCATATCTGAATTTTAACACTGCCTAGGTCCCTATATAAATTACAACATGTCTCTGAAAGTATAGTTTAGGAATATGAAAAAGTGCCATGTATTCATCAGTAAATGAACCTTTCAGTTTGTAAAATGTAAGAAAACAATACAAAATGGAAACCACAAGGTCAGTTTCAACAGTCAACATTTTTGATTATCAAATTGATGCAGATTTGGTTCAGATCTCAAAATTGTACCCTCAATACATTTATAATATAAATCAGGCTTTTTTTAAATAAAGTTTTTTGGGGGGAGGCTGTGGGTTAATAAAACATCCTTTATAAAATGTGATACTTTGTTGCAGATTAAAACTGTTATTATTATATATTATTCTGAATCAGACCACTATGCATGATTGACGAATATTTAGTTATTTCTTTAGCCTTCTCACTTCAAGCACATTTTGAGGTGCTAATCCTATAGTGTTGAATGCTTTTAAATGCAGGGTTGTTACTTTTGTCTTTATTTGTAGGCATATGGACCTGAAAGCTTCTTACAACACTAAACAGTGTATTTACCTGTGTTTCCCGGAGGAGTGGAGGAAGTAGTGACTTGTTTCCTCTTTTTCTTATTCCTCTTTGTCTTTTTTTTAGTGTCGCAGCTCCTGGACGGCTGCAGCAGCTTACAGTGTTTGTCTTCTGGCATGATGTAGCCGGCACACAGTGCTAATAAATAGATCTAAAATAGCGAGTCTGAAGACTGTTCTGCAGAATGATAAATTGTTTCTTCGATAAATACTCTTTCCTTTAAGGCCATTACATTTAAAAGACTGCAAAAAAAAAAGAGCTAACGCTGAGCCCTACTCTTCGTTTAATCACAAGAAACAGGGGTAGTCCCGAGAAAAAGCTGCTTTATCTCGTGTGGTTTAAAAACACTTTTGTCTGATGCACAAAAAAGGCAGAAGAAAGTGTAAAAAATGGCTGGTACATTGCTAACTATCTTTGATGTTTCGTAGTGTTTGTTCCGGGACACGCAGCATTTCCACAATCACACTTCACCACCGTGTTGCCCAGTGACACGTCTCCGTGGCAACACGACACACCTTCTCAGAGAGGATTAAGAGTCTGGGTAATTCTCGCTTTTATTATTATCAGAAGTAGGATACTTTTCGTGTTAGTTAATAAAGTCGTCATGAAAACGTTTACATGTCCTATTTAGTTATGTTCAGTGAATGACTACAATATGATGATATCTCCTAAGCACAGAAGAAAACCAAAGAATTGACCCCGACGTGATTTGAACACGCAACCTTCTGATCTGGAGTCAGACGCGCTACCGTTGCGCCACGAAGTCACACACGCTACAACAGGGTACCGCAGTCTAATCGTGTGCTGCATTACTCACGATACTGTGTAACTTTGTTAGTCTTTATGTGCCTATGTACGACTAAGTAGTCTTCAAATAGGAGTATTCCCCCCTCAATATAAATAAGACGATAGGCCTATAGCCTAAAACAGAGTTCCAAAAACATGTGTTCCCCTTGTAATCTTTTTTTGACTGATCCTAATTTCCCTTTATGGGACAATCAAACAGACACTGTTGACACTAAAGGTCAATCTAAACAAAATGTTCCCATGCAAGCTTCCTGTCTTAGCTGTGAAATAAAAACTCAGTACAAGCACTGCACAACAATGGATCTCTTAGTGTGAGACGTGTTGGTCTAAACTATTTTAAGCCCTTGGATAAATATACTGAATGAGTTCTTTGAGTTAGCAGGACAGAAGTAGCTGGCCTTGAGCGGAAGCCACAATATTAAAGAACAAGGAGGAGATACTTTTTAGACCAGATGCAAGAGATGAATACTTTCAGATGATGTAACATTACATTTCATGGTTGTTCATCTGCAAAGGTCTCAATTGAGACTGTCTGATCTCTTAATTAGACTTATCATTTCCCTTTCTTAAAATTCTTCTTCTGTCTCGTTCACCAACACCAAATACACAAATGAGTGCAATTATCCCCCCTGCATCTAAACATACAATAACTAATGATTTGGCCACTTGGATGCAGCAAAAACAAGCTTTTATATCAAGAGTTTCCAATTAACACATCCAGCAGATGTCAGGAGCAATATTATCATTTATTTGTCATAGTCTTTCTAGTAACCTCATTTATCTAAATCAAATACTCACTTTCCTTTTGCTTTATTTTGGCCCACCAACTCCCAATGAAAATATCTGTCCCGTTTAGCTGCTAAATGCTCCACCATGATGACCAGCCAGCTGCTCACTGTGTCTGTCTGATTTTTGCTACTCAGCAGGTAGTCTTGAGCAGTTTTTTCTGAGTTATAAATCACTTTGAGAGCTGTATGAGTGAACCAAAATAGAAACGTTTTGGGAAAACCAAAACAGGTTGAATCTCACCATAAATCTCCTGCTGAAGACAACTGTAGTCATACATTTATATATTCAGTCTAATATTTAATATTCCATCCGTCACATACTTATGTAAATATAATACCTTGCTTTATATCTTGTTATTGTTCATTTGTAAATTCAACATGTATATTTTCTACTTTCTTGTTTAATTTCTTGTCTTTTAATTTTTATTGTACAATGCCATGTCTTTTTATGCTGCTGCAACACAAACATTTCCCAAATTGGGATCAATAAAGTTCTATCTTATCTCTTATCTTATCTTATTAAAGTACATTTGAAGGCAAATACACCACAGACGGTGTTGCTAAATCTTTTACTGATGGACTGTTTAACCTCGCTAAAGTTTTATAAATTACAATAATATTTGTATTGTAGTCTCAAAAGGGAAAACAACACTATTGTTTGTCCAAGTGAAAGAAAAGTGTGTATCTAATGATCAAAGCACTTATAACTGTTTGTGAGACCATTTCCTTTTGAATCGCTGCATGGGGATTTCATATGTGCCTCTGACAACATCCACAGCACGCAGTCTGGTATTTCACAGGGAGTTTCCATCCTATTCCTGTCCCATAGAAGCTAGTCCCCCACTGCTTCCTCAGTACTCAGTCACATGCATGTTCACACAGAAACAACATGTATTACGTTGAAGAATGTGACCCTTGTACACACAAACCCTTTCTGCGCACAAAATAATGTTTCTAATGATATGAGGACTATACTTGACTGCTATGTTCTGTCTCCAATTAAAACAAACATCCACCAGTGCCACGAATAGTCTGAATCTCTGACCTCAAACAAGTCTGTCCTGCTTCTGCATTTCCTCCCCACATATCTGAGCTGTTCCAGTAAGACCCACAGGAGGAAGAAAAAAGATAAATCATGGTGCTGAGTCAGGGAGGACACGTCATATTTATCAGTGCATTGGTGCCAAAGTTCACAGTGAGATGCAGACATATCACACGTTTTTAAAGACCCACTTAAAAGGGACAGAGATTGCTGTCAGGATGTAAAAAAGCTATAGGAAATGCATGTTTGTACAGACAACATGTATATTTATCTGGCCAACAAAAAGGACATCTACTTACATTTTGTACACAACCTTTGATCCACAGTTTTTATGTGTTGTGAACCATGGCCCTTTGCATGCCACAGATGTTGGGGGGGGGGAGATGTGACTCACACGCACCTCATCATCATTATACAAACAGATCTTAAGCTGCAGAAAGTGCATTGGCATCTGCTTAAACAGTTCTCAACAGCTTTTGCAAACACGCCAAGTTTGCGTGTGAATTAGCAATTAAAGCCTTAGAAATCTCAATCGAATTAGGGTGAATGTTTTACAGAAGGGAGATAAACCTTACTGGTATTTCTCAGGCACTCTAGATATGCATAGCAGTTGTGACATAACGTTTTCAAAGTGCACTTAGACCATATTACATGTTGAAGCAGGTTATTGTGCAACTAATGTAGTAGCTTATTCTTTTGCTGAATAAGTTCCATGCATCCAGTGACAGAGCAAGACGTTTCAGACATTCTGCGCTCTGCCCAAACCTGGGGGGTCCTCCTTAGTCATTGTTGCCAAAAGAAAAAGAAAACCTCCTGTTGTGTCCTATTTTGTCATCATGATACTGAAACCATAACAGAACAAAACAAGGATGACTATTTTTCACTCCTGCCACCTAAAAAGGGCAAACATTTTTACTTTTGAAGTTACTTAACAAACATAGGGTATGTACAGCCAGTGCCCCTAATTAGAAACACAGATTCAAACCATTTACACCATAACCAGCTATTTGGCTGCTGAGCTAATGACAACAAATTATCAAGTATGTATACCGCAAACAATGTCATAAAATATTAAATGGTACTTTTTTACAGGAAATAAGATCAGCATACCAAACAACACTGTGAGTGTCATTGTGAATTGTCTTTCCTTCATTTTCAATACTGATCCTACATAAAATGAGTGTTATAATGAGAATCACTGATTCATAATGTCTTCCACCTCCACACAGGCCTAAAAAGGGAAGTCGTGGCTGAATCAGAAATAAAGGTTACCAGCAGTGGAGTGAAAACTGAGTTGGTGGTTTTTCCGCATAACATATTCAGAATCTAATGAATTTAGTGTAAAGTAACTACAAGAAGGTGTTATAAAGCAGACTGAGGAAGGAGAATGAGCCAGTGGGTTTGGTCTTGTGAGGATTTTCTGTGTGTCCCATGGATGTATAATAAGAACGGTGTGTGCTCAGTGTGTCAGGTGACAGTGAGGAAGCAGCTTCTCAAAGTGCAGCAACCTTAAAGCTGCAGGAGCACAGGTTCACAGGAGAGAGGGAGACATTAGAATGGAAACTGACCCCACCGTCCTTATTGTGAGAGTGTCTGAGAGAGTATCTTGACTTGCTGATGTCTGTGGAGGCCACGTAGATACTCATTTCTGCTGTGACAGGTTTAACTCAAACCGTACAGCTTCTCTGACAAAAAACTCATCCTGAATCTTTTTTATCTTCCTAACATGGCTAAATGAATCTACTTTGAGGACCAATGCACCCATAAACGGCTGAAATGAATAAAACACATACATTTATTAAGCATTTAGCACACCACCAATGAAAGCCTTAAAACTAGTTTAGACATGTTTTTCTGCCACTAGGATACATTTAACTGCTATTTTTTTTTATACAGACGTGTATGACCTGCAACTGTACATTCAATTCGATTACGTGTGTGTAATTAGTGTTTTACTCCTATTTTTGGCCATGTTAGGCTACGTATTACAGGTCTACATGCATTTAAATGCGTAAAGACATGCGTCTTTATGTGCGTGATGTATTACTAACAGGTCAATCTGCTGCTTCATGGGCGTGTACACGTCAGATTCGTGCACATTCTGACGTCCGTTTCTCGTGGCTGCTACGTCATTACGCTGCCAGCTGATCAGAGTGGGAAGCCGGGTGTGTGTGCGCGTGTGAGAGAGAGAGAGAGAGAGAGAGAGAGAGAGATCGAGAGAGATATCGTAGATAAGCGAGAGAAGGAGTAGATATCGAAGATCGAATCCGATCTAGTGCTCGTCGCGATATAGCTATCCTCTATCGCTTCTCTCTCTCCGCGCTCTCTCCTCTCGCATCCTCGCTACATACTCTCCCTCTCTCTCGTCGCGCTCGCTCTTCCTCTCTCTCTCCCTCTCTCTCTCCTCTCTCTCTCCCCATCTCTCTCTCCCCATCCCTCTCTCTCTCTCTCTTCTCTCTCTCAGGAGTTGTGTAAAAAAGGGGCTGAAGTCCTGCGCCTCGTCCTCCACTGCGCTGCAAGGAAAAGTAGGCTCAACACCAGCAGATATATAAACGCTGCCAACCCGTTATTATATCGTGGAGGTAAAAACAGGCAGAGAGACAGCGACACACCCTTTCTGGAGCTCCGGGAACTCCGCCCGGAGCAGAAGGCAGAGGCCGGCTGAACTCCACCCGACCGTGCGTAGGGTTTGTCCGGGCAGCAGAGCCCGGTGCCGGTGGGTCAGTAGGGGCGTGTTGCTGGACTGTGAGTCTGTCTGTGTTTCTCTGCTACCTAACGGCA